AATTAGCCCAGTAATTAACAAATCAGTTAAAGAACTGACTGAAAATACCATACCTGGTGAATTTTTGTTTAGGCCAGATTTAGGTGAGCGAGCAAAAAATTTGAAATCTTTGGAAAAGGCAGGACAGGACTTACGTTTGCCTTCTAACCCCTCACGCATTAGCTCTCAATCAGCGCGAACCTTCAATCATTCCGAAAGAAGAGGGGGGGGCAGCTCGTCCAAGAAAGCAGGACCTTCAAACAAGTATCGCCCGTCTTACCGCAAGAGGGAGGTGAGGCAATACAAGGGCCATTCCTCGAAACAGTTTCCTCAGAACAGACAACAGCAAACCAGAAAACGCTGAAGGTAAAACAAGTTCCGTTTGCTGGCCGCTTACAGTTTTATTTGGACTCTTGGTCCAAACTAACCTCAAGTTTGACAGTCTTAGCCTGGATTCAAGGTTATAGGATTCCCTTTAAAGACAACCTTCCATCATGCCACCACTTGGTTGAAAATATTTTTTCCCTACAGAAACATCGCTAGTAAGATTAGCTATAAACGATTTGTTAAGGTCCGGAGCCATACTCAAATCTGAGTCAAGGCCCGAACAATTTATCCCTCCATGTTTCCTAGCACTAGCAGATAAATCCAGCGGTGGAAAAAGGTTTATTTTAAATCCAAAACAATTAAATGAATATGTGGAATGTCCGCATTTTAAAATGGAGGACCTACGAACGGCTATTAAAGTGACTCACAAAAACGTGTATATGTGCACAATCGACTCGAAAGATGCATACTTTTTGGTACCCGTTCACAATGACCATCAACCATTCCTTAAATTTCAATTTGAAGGTCAATTATACCAATTTACCTGCTTACCGTTCGGGTTATGTACAGCTCCGTTATGCTTCACAAAACTCGTGAAGCAAGTCGCCTCTTTTCTCCGCACTTTGAGCATCTCTACAGTCAATTACCTAGACGATTTCCTAATATTCGGAGATTCCTATGAATCCTGTCTCAAACATATCAACACAACCATTTGTCTTTTAAAATCGTTAGGTCTTATAATCGATAAAAACAAAAGCATCCTAGTACCTACCACTTACATAAAATTTCTAGGCTTTATGATAGATAGTGTCCATTTAAAAATAGAACTTCCTGACGAAAAGAAGCCTATTCCTGAAAGCATAAAGCCAGATATTTTTTAGTGGACAAATCATATTTCAAAAGCCTTCAATGACATCAGGTATGATTCCTTTCATATAACAATTTTTACCGACGCATCACTTACAGGATGGGGTGCTGGTTGTGGCCATGACAGAATCCATGGATTCTGGTCTGACTCTCAAAAACGGTTACATATAAATAATTTGGAGTTATGGGCTATTTCGTACGGGATTCAGTGCTATGCCAAAAATTTGAAAAACTGCAATATTCTAATTAGATGTGACAACCCGACAGCTGTTTCATACATCAACAGAATGGGGAGTGTTCAATTCCCAGACCTCTGTTCGTTGTCAAAACAAATTTGGCAATGGTGTGAGCAAAGGAACCTCTGGCTCTTCGCTTCATACATTCCTTCGAAGGATAATGTTATAGCAGACACCGAGTCCAGGAGTTCGAATTTGGAAACGGAATGGTCATTATGTCAAACCGCCTTCGACCGTTTAACCACCGTTTTCGGAAACCTAGAGATTGATCTTTTTGCTTCCCATACAAATGCTAAATGCAAGTTATATGTCTCCTGGCATAGAGATCCAGGATCTGCATATATTGACGCGTTTACGATTCCCTGGAATAAATTTCAAACTCTGTCACAGAAATTAACGACGTTATTAGCCCTGATAACAGGAGAAAAACTCCAGACGATATCTCTTATACGTCTATCAAATATAATCCATGGTCACAGTGAATCAACTATTAATATATCGGATCCAATTAAAACCAATAGAGTTGGAAAACCTCAACCAACTCTACACATCCCGATTTTTCAACAAAACCCCTTTCTTTGCGTGGCCACAATCCTGAAAGAATACATTTTTAGGCAGCAGCGGTGGCCGCAGTAGTAGACTCTTCGGGCTCCTGATCAGTCGCCGTGCGCTGTGCGGGTTCGAGTCCCGTCCCAGGAGAAATTTTTCTCTTGGCTATGGATGTTGTGATTGTCCGTAGGTGGTAGACGGTCTCTGACTGTCGAACGCGGAGGTACCACCCGGCGGATCTCGTAGGCGGAGCCAGAATGTGTGCATGTTGCATGCACACGTGTTCCCTCGCCAGAGTCCGTGTGGCGTTCTCCCTTTCCCATGTATCCCCCTATAGCCCCACGGTACCCAATGGGTGCTTAGGCCTTAGGCCTTCGTGGTAGTTGAAGTATAAAAAAAAAAGATAGAACGGCTTCTTTAAGAGAACCCAATAACTGCAGGAGTAGACACAACACTTTTTGCGCCTCATTCAGTAAGGCATGCGGCGACTTCTGAGGCGTTAAGAAAAGGCGTTTCCGTAGATAACGTATGTAAAACAGTTGGTTGGACGCAACGTTCCACGTTTGCAAGATTTTATAATCGTCCTCTACAACCAAACAATGAGTGTGCAAATGCAATCCTAGATATAAAATTGGTCTGATTAGTTCAGTTCTAATACTCTTGAGAGTTTGTTACATGTTTCCGGTGTTTCAGTTATTTCTCATATCAACGTTATCTTTAGGTTACAATTTGAGAATTTATTTTATGTTTGTTACATAGGAATACTAAATATATGGTTTTGTCGTTTCTGAACATTTTGTTTCCTCTTTATAACACCATCAGATCGCTCGCAACTGTGTTCTATCTTTAAACATCTACATAGTAAATAAACAAAGTGATGTCTTCGGACTGGACCTAAAGTATAATTAATCGATCAAACGAACTTACCTTAAGTGAAGTTCGATCGTAATTATACGGGGGTCCAGTCCGAAGACATCACTCCCACCCCTTTTTCAACCCTCCCAAGTTGCGAGCAAGTACCATTTCTTTTAACAAATGGGACGGAAGCGGGGATCTCTTGTCTTTTAACTTGGTGTGCGGCTAGTAATCCAGGGCTGGACTACATAGTAAATAAACAAAGTGATGTCTTCGGACTGGACCCCCGTATAATTACGATCGAACTTCACTTAAGGTAAGCTCGTTTGATCGATTAATTTTTCGACATCGATTAGAAATCGGAAAACTCGCAGACAACGAATTGTCGGATCTCTGACGGAAGCACTTCTCATATTCGCACATCTTAAGCGGTGCCCGCAATCTTTCCAGAAATGAGGTTTAGGTACAGTCAGACTCGGTAAAAATTGTAAACGTTATGTTTCTTCCATTATTACAACCCGGGCTATTCCGGAACAGATCCTTATAAAGTGTGTGTTAGCTCCTACTCTGATTCCTTTTGTCTTGATAAGAATTTTCTGTCCTTAAAACGTAAGCCTACTTCTGCCATCAACGTTAGGCTCTAATCAAATCTGAGGAAGCAACCGTTTTACTGCTCTCATTTTTCCACAATACCTTATTCGTTTCCATATCAATCAATCTGAGTGGCGTCATTGCTACAAGAAACAGAAATTCGTCGGTGTTTTCTAAATCAGAAAATTTCTGCTTATATTGGCTATGCCCAGAACTGCCATCAAATCCCCACTTGTATATCACTTTAATCCGGCAATCTCTCTCTTCAAAATTTATTATTTCAAGGATACTTTCAGCTGTTTTCTGTACAAGTTCTTGCAAATCAACTTCTGCAGAAATTTCAGTAATAATAAAGGGAAGGGAGAATAGCATTTTTTGTTTTCTGTAATTCTTTATAACTAGGAAGGCAGTTCTGGGCCTTACCATTAATAACAGACCTAAGTAGCAAATACTTTCTTACGGATATATCCAAATCTACCATAAGGGCTAAAGCTTCAGCTGTACTAAAACTAAAATTTGTGGCGAGACCTCACTGTGATTGCTTCCAGAAACGTACATTTACAGCAAATTGAAGTTCATTTGCAGATCTGTCTGTGGTTAGTTCGGCTACACGTCTTCGTTTTGTTTTCTTCGATGCCTCTTCAAATGGCACCCGTGGCCGTCCAACTAAGCGACAAGGAGGTTCTTGTTCCTCATCCGAAGATGTGTTTTCTTCAGAATCATTATTTATTCTATATATATATATATATATATTCTTGTCTAACCAATATACCTGATTTTGTAAAAGTCGATTCCGAGATTGTCCTACTTTCTGCCATTTATTTGCCATTTTCAACCCAAACAACTGGCTGCATTTCATAATATTACTTTTAAGATGTTTGGAAGGTTCATCTGTTATATCAATAAGAGATAATATCTTTTCATAAACCACCTGTTTTCTATTTCCTCTCGGTGCTTCTATCCACACATCAATCAAATCTCTATTTCTGACAATAGCACCATGTCCTAAAAAAAATTATATCTCCCTTAGACATGGCATGACGTGATTTAAACTTTTTATCAAAACTTACTATGGACAGATAAACAATAAATAAAAAATGTTTAGGGTGATGGGAGGTGATTTTTGTAAAACTCTAAACAAAGTCAAAAGTTTTAAAAAAATTAAAAAAATCGGTAATACTCACTTTAACTTAAAAAATTATCTAATTATAATTATATTTTAAATAAATCTATATATCAATATAATGTACTTACCAGCCTCATTACCAGCCATATTGGAAAAGTTGAAATATTTAAATATTTCGACACAAAATTTATATCTTTCCCGAGCAATAAAACAGAGAGATTTTTCGCCTTCTTGACAGGCCTCGACATGTCTAACTTTAAAGTTGCTAAAATAGGTAAATCGCAGCCAACTTGATTAAAGTACTATACTTAGGTGTTGCAGTGACTATTTATCTATCCAATGGTATTATAAAAGCAACAGAATTGTAATGTCCAAAATTATGTTTTTGAGTAAAAATCCTAAAAGCCTGGTAAATCAATAGTTGAATCATGTGGAAACATTTATTTACTCAACACGTACATTTTCACATACATCTTGAAAAGCTATGCAGAACAAAGATTCCTGCTAAAACGATTTTACTTGAAAACTTAAAGATACCAACTTTTCCATGATATATATTACGCTGATTATTGAGCTATTGTTGGATTAAAAGGAACGTTATTAAACCTTATTCGTTAGGCTCTAGATTATGTTCTGGATCGTACAACTTCCTTTTCCTAGGCTTGTTTTTCACGTCTTTATTTTGATTACTAGCGGTGCTAACGTTAGATAAGTTTGACTGCAAGACATAATTCTTTTTTCCAGCTTTACCTTTATATAATGGAGTGCTTGTATGTCTTTGAAAGCATGTTGTGTTATTTAGCTCGAACGTTTTAGCCTGACATGAAAGTTGTTGGAACTTCTCCGGAGTCGCCGTCGATTTCTGTTGGAATATTCGACTTTTGGATAATTCACTGTTATTATTTTGATCAAATGGCGAAGCATCTACACAATTCATCCGATTTTTTTGATTATTATGATCACTAGTCTGGAGTGATATATAAGTATTTATCACTGATTGAGGATTATCTATAACTGAATGATTGTCACTGTATTGACTAGCACTTGTATTAATGTTGAAAGTATTAATGTTTCTAGAAATGTTGTCGATATTGCTTTCTCTGGTGACATTATTAAAAGTCGGGTTTTCTCGGCTTGGTGGTCTCTGAGAGTTGATGTTTGCATCTTCTTCTGATTCAGTATAGATGTTATTTGTATCTCTGGAAACCATTTTGCTGTACATCAAATTATTCCTGACAGTCTGTATCGGAGTTTCTTGGAAATACAAAGTATCATTTCTTTGTCTCTATAAACAATATAAATATTAGTCTACACTATAATACCAATCATACCTCAAATACAGATGTTTACAGAAAAATGACATACTTGGTTGGCAAGTAGATTTTTTAATTTTGCTATTTCTGTTTGGAAAGTTCTGGCTTGAGTTTGAGACTGTCTAAGCTTATTATTCAAATCTGCGATTTTGCTCTTCAAATTAGATTCAATCTCATCAATTTGCAAAGCTGTGGTCGCCTGTGTGGCTTGTATTTCGTTGAGCAGCTCTTTCTCTGAAATGTGCAGGTATGAACTCAAGCAGAAAATCACTAATATGGATGCTGTAAAAAAACTTGGTCGCCTGCTGCAGTACTTTAAATACCTTTAGTTTCGTAACACATTCTATCACTTTCTATTCTTTTGCTAAAGTTAATTATTTCAGATTCATATTTCTCTTCTGAATCAATCAGCCTACGTGTCAGATCGGTTTTTTGAAGTTCCAGCTCTTCCTGGTATTGCTTTTCCTTTACAGCAAACTCCAATTTCAGGTTATTATATTCCAGTGCCAAATTTTCATATTTGCCTGTAATGGAACGGAATTTAAAATACAAGGTGTCCAGTGGGAAAGTTCACTTTTTGATTTAAGAAAAAAATACAAACATGAAAAGAAAATGTTTATTACTATCAACATATTCGTAAATTCGGCGGATTTTATTCCTTAAAGTCATTACGTTCAAGTGTTTGCCATCCCTTCGGACACACTCTAATCTCGCGCGCAAATTCTGAAACACTCTCTTGCAGACTTCCGGAGTGATGTTGTTTATTTCTCGTCGAATTCTGTCTTTAAGCTCCTGCAGTGTTCGTGGATTATTGGAATACACTTCTGACTTTAGATAACCCCGCAAAAAATAATAGCATGGCATGAGGTCGGGTAACCTAGGAGGCCAGTGAACGTCTCCAAACTTCGATTTCACTTTTTGAAGTAAAAGTGCTTTCACCGTGACCATCGATTCTCTGGAAGTATGGGCAGTGGTCCCATCCTGTTAAAACTACGTGTTTCTATTAAACCAACGTTCTGTTCTTACAATAGGAGCAAAAAAGCATCAGTCATGTTCTTGTATCGCTCGTAATTGACTTTCAATGCAAGACCGTTTTCATCTTCAAAGGAATACGACCCAATAATACTGCTAGAGGATATGGCACAACAAACAGTCCTTTGGACTATGTAGCTGCTGTTGATGTTTCTCTTTTGGGTTCGTTGGTGCCCAATATCTGCAATTTTGCTTGTTCACATAACCGTCTAAGCGAAGGTGGGCCTCGTCACTGAAAACAACGTTCTCGAGTCTGCGCTGTGTAGGAAAGAGATTCAATATTCGGTCAGCACAAGATTTCCGTAATACGTAATCATTTTCTCTTAAAGCATGGACTGATTGGATTTTATAAGGATGAAAACCCATTTTTTCTTCATTATCACATGCAGTGTTGACCTAGGGATCCACAAAGCAGCGGAATGCTTCCGTACAGAACGCCAAGAATTTGCAATGACCCAATTCTCTCTCTTCTTCGGTTGATACAGTAGGTGTGGGGCCAGGAATGGGTTGACAAAGAGTAGAGTCTGTTTCACGGAACCTCTTAATCTACTTTTTCAACAGCTGACTTGGGGCATCTATTGGGCGGCGAATGTTGTATCGTGTACAAAATTTCCGAAGGGCAGCTGCGTATGAATCACCACTCTTAAAGTAAGCCTCGATAGCAAAAGCACGTTGCGCTTCGGTCCAACGTTCCATTGTGACTATTCAACCCACACGCCGAACGCGTCGATCAAGACCTGTTCCCACTTCCTAGCATATACGGTTGCCGCGTAATTCAAATTTGAGATGTGAACTTTCCCACTGGACGCCCTAGTTTTACTTACGAAATTTGTGTTCATGGATATTGACCTTTACAGGAAAATAATCTCCACGCCTCTGACCTTTCCGAAATATTTGCAAAATATCTCATTTTTGTTTAATCTATATGGATTATCTATGAATTATTATGTCAGATATGTGATTTGTAAATTGTAACACCATAATAACAGATGATACCATAATGTTATTCAATCAAGTTCAGCTGTCAAAAACCCCAGTGGCGCAGGAACAGACACCCTTAGTTTCTGCAAGAGGACAATTTTCATAGCACCCTTTTCGATGTGTTATTTTCCCTAGAAATACTGTCGCTAATCTTTTAATTCACGTGCATTCCTGAAACACTGTCTCTAAACAGAAGGGATTAAAAAATTATTTTTCATATCCACTCACTCGATGAACCTTTGGTTTGTTCGTACAGTAGTCGGTAACTTGTCGGTGACTGTCAAAATCGGGATCAGAGAGATGTTACCTGTTCGTACAGTTTCTGACTGTTTGCCGGCTGCTTATCCGTTGTTCGTACAGAACCTTCTGACAGTTCAGGGAACGCCAGTCAATCACTGATAGTGACAGGTATCAGAATGAGTCGAAAATATTCTGAAGACTAATATTCTCTAACGGACAGACTGGGGACACTTTCACATCGGTGGGACGTCGGCGACCTAGCTCTCTTCCACCGGTAAGCTAAAGGCTTTGCTCCTCAGAGCTCTCCTCGATGATGCCGTCGCACGATGGCCTGACAGATAGACTCACCTGACTTCGGCCTCCCATCCTAAAGGTGTCGAACTTCGTACATCCAGAATGGCCGCTCTTTTGTCCGTAATGTATCGAGATTGTGGGGGTGGGATGAAGAGGCTTTTTCCAGGTCTACCAACCTTAGCCAGTTTAAAAATCGGATTAACAGAGTTTCTTTAAGCTCCTCGTAGCAGCCTCCCTGCCTTGGCATTTAGGCTTTGCCTCGGCTGCTGCTTCGGAGTAAAAAATACTTTGAGCGATATACATACTAACTAAGCAGCGAATACTCGGGAATGTCCGAGTTTTCTTCGGAAGAGAGAACGAAACCCAAAAACCTGAATTTTGTGGAGGGAACATTGCCACAATTCAACAGTGTTTGTAACATTTTTGAGAGAGCAAGACAGTCGCAGAAAAAAGTTCAGTGTAATTCCGTGGTATTAACCATTTTAAATATGAGGCAGCGCCATATGGAAAACTAACTCCATATAAAGAAACCTGTATATTTTTATGGTTTGCTGGATATCAAACAGCCATCTTCAGGGATGTAGCTGACAGGCTCAATGTTTCCGTGAGTACCCTGCATGCAGTTATAACCAGATTGACCAACTTTTTGAGTAGTCTGGTACAAAAATCATAAAACGACCAACAGAAGAAAAAAGATATAGGACAAAGCAGTATTTCTACCATAAGAAATAGATTTTTTGGAATTGTTGGCATCATTGATGGCCCCCTTATAAAGATTGAAAAACCATTGGATGACCCGTTATCATATTATTAATAGAAAAGGATGCGACTCTATACAGGTTTGTGTGATAATAATCCCCTCAAAATTCAACCATCAGACCTAAGACCCGTATCGTCAGTCGACCCTACAATTGTATGGCCTCCTTGATTGTCATACTCCTTTCTCTCCTTCAAAAATTTCTAGATTACACTTGTTCCGTGTCAGCGTCAGCGCTCTCCTATTGTGAAGATTTGTTTTCCTTTTAAATTGTAGGACATTTCAGGCTGATAAAACATGATATAACTCAAAACCAAGCACAATTTGATGCAAATTGATGTTTGTGACATAACCTCAAAATAGAGCGCTGACACGGAGAAGTAGAAAACTATGACAATCAAGGATGCCATAAAGGCGCCCTACAATTGTAGGGACGACTGACGATACGGGCCTTAGTGATGTGGCAGAGAATAGTCATGCCGCTGTATTGTTGCGCTCTCAAGTCAATTATACGAATATTCGGCTATAAGTTGTCCCCACTTCAACTCTTTAATAGGACTATAAAGTCTAATATAAAATTCTCTGTTTTCGAAATGCATTTCAAAGTACGAGTATATTTCGTTTATGGGCCCTGTAATGGCAGAAATGCAATTCATAGATTCAGTGTGAAAAATCTGAACACTAGAGGACAGAGCTTTCAAGAACCATAATTAATACTAATTTTTTGGTAACACTAATCATTCCAAAATTTTGATTACAAATGCAAAACGCGGAATTACGCGATTACTTTGTTCCTACCAGTGTTGCTATAGTTTATTTACTGAATCAAAGCAGTCACGTCACAACGTCAAATAATGACAGTGACGCGCATGGTTGCCACATTAATTAAAACTATTAGATCCTAGGAGGTTTTACAAAATCTATTTTATGTCTTCGATGCCTCACCGCAACCAACATTACCGAGGGTATGTTTTGCAAACGCTAGAGCTAGTATAAATGAAAATAGCTGTATCACAAAGTCTTCAAAATTAGTTATTTCGTTTTTTTCTTCGATCAGCTCTGGGTCGGACTGGAGCTAGAATAGACATACTGTTTGTGCCTACACTTCAAGGCTGGGCGACAACTGTTAGGGAACAGGGAACAAAAACTCTACTATTCTAGTTTTATAAAAATATATTTACAATACATTTTTCATGCATAATCATCGCAGACGTTTATTCAAAATTCATACTTTTTGCTTCTTCAACTTGTCATTCGATGTGTGGAATCACATTCCTCTCAATGTATATCCATACTTTTTAAATGAGAATTGAATGGGAATTACTGACTAAATCTACTTGACATTTTTTGGTGCTGTTATTTTTCCTAGAAAGTGTTTCTTGTTATCCCCTCTAGAGGAAAATTCAAGCACTTCCAGGCAATTAGACGATAAATCCTAGATCATTCTGGTTTACAGGAAATCAAAATACCCGAACTTTTCCAAAATTGTCTACCTCATGCTGAAAGATGTTACATTGGCATAATAATTGTACTTGTTATCGAGATCTGATAATTTACTGGACAATAATCTGCTGACTAATTTGACAGTCATCAAACAGTCAGAAGTTTCTGTACGAATAGTGGATTAGTTGTCAGTAATCGGTCCAAGCTCCCTCAGTCAACTCATAACGTTCTCGTGTTCGCAATGTATTTATAATTCGAAAAAGTAACAAATAAGATAAAAGCTGAGGTAGGTAAGTTTTTTTTGATACAAAATTCAGCACTCCAAATTTTAAAATGGCGGACTGAGGGGTTGCTGAAGTGGAGGGTATTTCTAGACAAAAAATCCTATATCTCAGTAGCTAATTACCAAAACCTCATAGTATGATATATCGATTTTCTTCTTTTGATTTATCCAAATATGTAATAAAATTTGAGGCATTCCATTTGAAAAATCACAACTTTGATATGTAGGTCGAAATTGTATAGGTAATGGTCAATATTTTACAAATGTGCCCTCAAATGTCACGTATAACATCCCATAAGTAGATTTTCCCAAAATGTGTTTGTTTATGAGTAATATTCCGTCCACACATGGATGGGCCACCCTGTACAGTCAGTGACGTATCAGTGAGAGCTAATTGAATAAACTAGGTCATGACTTGTCGCCGACTATCAGTTTGCTGACTGTCAGCCAGCAGGCTGTGCGAACAAACCACTTATTACATATTATCCTGCTCAGTAAAATCATTCACAACTTAAGTTACCTTTAAGCTCTACATGTTTGGTAGTTAAGGTGGCGTTATCATGGCTTAATAAAACTTTATAACAACTTTCCCAATGCTTAGCATTTGATTCGCTAGACTCTAACTCTTTGTTCAAACGTTCGGTGAGCTGTAACAAGTCGTTTTCAATTTTCTTACGCCGATGTTTGCTCTGAAATATTAAGGCCAAAAATGGATAAAATCGACACCAACAAAAAAATGTGTTCATACCTGAAGCAACTCCTTAAATTTTTCTAAAAACTCATCCAAATCTTCATGTGTATCGCTCATTGTGCCACCTGTAACTACACACTTCCACCTGAGATTCCACTACAAACTCACATATTTTGCATTATTCAATGGCTTGCTAAACGTCACCTCCATTTTCATGGCACACTGAGAGTTAACAGCGACTATATAATTACCCGACTAATAGCATTGATGGTTAATAATTATTGATTTCAGTGTACTCAATCTGCTTATGAGGAATCTTACGTGCAAAAGATTTGAGTACTACCAGCAAACCTAAAGTGCGGCCGACATAAAGCGCACTGGGAAATTAATGCGTGTGCGAGACTTCAAAGTTTGAATATGAAGGATCAAGCTGGTTGAGATAAGTGCTCCTGTTAGCCCAGCGGTTCATAGTCAATAGGTTTTTTGTTGAGATTTCAGTTAAAGTTACAGTATCACAAAGCCTAGAGATGAACTGTAAATGTTCTTGAGGCAATATTTCGTTCACACGCTAGCAGAACAAATATTCCAGTCAAAACACCGAATTCGGGAAAAACCGCAGAAGTAGTATTTTTCAAATAATTATTAAATTATGAAAATCGGTAACCTGCATGTGAAAGGTAGTTTAATTATATTTTTTTGTTTCAAATGAGCTATTCTTTTATCCGAAAATGTTTTTATTGATAGGCAACAAAAGGAGTGACAATCAAAGCATTCATTAGACCTAATTTTGTATTGCATTCACGGTTTTTTCGCATATCTGTGAACATTTTTTTTGTCATGCGCGCATACATATATTGCGTGACATGACACAACTCTTTGTAAATAATTTCATTCAAATAAGTAACTTCTGTAGGTTCACTACATCATCAAAACGAGGTCCACGAAAATACTTTCCAATCGAAAAACTTTTTTCTAACAAATATTTTTTTGTTACCTAATTTGTCGATTGACAGTGACCTGATCTCAGTATGTATGAAAAATAAAAAATGCGTTACTTCTGTATGAAACATATAAAGTCTGGCATCGAAAATAAGTGCAATAAACCTTGATTTTCATTATTTTTTCTGTCCTTCAGAAGGGCGCTCTATTTTCAGGTTATCTTCCGAATATCTATTTACATCAAAATGTTCATGTTTCGGTTTTTCTCATCTGTTTATCAGCCTGAAATTTCCTACAATTTATTAAAAGAAAACATAACTAGGAGAGCGTTGACGCTGATACGGAACAGTGGAAATATAAATATACCCCAGCCTTTCTGAAGGAGAGAAAAAGCTATGAAAATCAAGGAGGCCAAAAGGCGTCCTTCAATTATGGGACCGAGTGACGATTCGGCCCTTAGTACATTTGAATCAGTCGCGTATATATGGAAGGCCGAGGGGACCGAACGGAACTGTGTCGTAACCACGAATGTCTCTATATGGTATTTGTGCACGGACGAAGTATAAAATATGGTGAAATCATTAGGCTGATTATTTATTCATTCCAAACTTAGCAAACCAGTAAAGTAGCTATTCACATATTCCAAATTTACGATGTTTCAAAACTGAGGAGTAATGACCGTCGGCATTAACATTTGAACGATGAAGAATTATTTCCATGGAATGCTGAGCCCAAAAATGCCACTTTTGAGTATACCGTTTGAGAAATACTGAAAAAATCGAGACGGTATTTTTCTGCTAACACTATTTTCAATCCCTTTAAGCGGTAAATGATGTTTTTGTAATATTTTTTAAACCCCACCATATCGAAAAGTCTCTATAAGGTAAAAATGTCAAATTTTATGTGCATATCCCCGGAATGAAATTGAATTCTAGTCGGTGTTTTTTAGAGGCAAAATAAATGAATTTCACTATATTTTGAGGCTCACCACTCACATCCTGAAAAAAAAACACATTGAAAGTGATGAATAAAATAAATAAAATAAAAATAATGACTTTAATGGTAACTGAAGTTTTGAGTAATATATGTTTACATTGACCACTTCAGAGTTCGAACAAAATAATCATGAAAATCGGACTTATCATCCCCATACACTCTAAATAATCATGGAAATCGAACTTAACACCTCATAATTTTGTTGATCTAATTTACCCAAAACCTTAAGATAATAGTTTCTAGAGTCCATAATAAAAACAAAAAGTGATTGATATGATTCGACCATTTTAAAAAGGATTTCTCCAGCACTGTGATGTTGAAAATTATAACGACAAAGTATACTATCAAGCCTACTTCTACTCCTGCTTGTTGGATTTTAGATATTCGCAATTTGGTTTGCATTCTGACACCATTTTTCATCTTATTCTTCCGTATAATCAGTTACGTCCTTTAATTTTGGTACCTAAATACTTAATTTGCGGTAGACTGTATTATACTGAAATTTAGCTGATTCAAAACTCAAGATATGCTGGGAGCGTTAGACAGGACGCAAGTAGTAGCTTTAAAGGTGATTTTTACAGATACTTTCTCAATCTGACAAATCCATCATTAAGAATTGTCGTAGTGACACTACACTATATCGTGACTATTAATCTAGATAATATTATGTCTCCCGATGAAGCCTCAAAATTACCGAAACCAACCTTGATGGAGAATTTTCTTCACAATGCCCTTCTTATGACAGAGATTGGTATTGACCTCAAAGATAGATTCATAGCGGGTGAAAAGTATATCAATCAATTGAGAAGCATTCTACTGGGAGCAGATAAGGCCATTTCAGCGCTTTATTTAATATCTAAGAGTTCCCTAGAACAAGCACAACATATTTTATCATCAATGATCCAAACAGGTGAGATAAAAACATTTATTGCGTTATACTAGACAAAACGGAGGCTCCTTTTGAAAAATCCTATAAGTACTTTTACATAAACACCTTCCTGGGAGGCCCCAGAATTAAGGGCATGCTTCACTCGCAGAAAGTGTTTAGATTATATTTTAACCAGGCACTAAAAACATTTTTTTTTACCTAAGTAGCCGCGTAGATAGAAGCCTACATACTAGGGCACCGCGGCTGCTATGACAAGTTTAGAGAAACTTTGTTAATCCGATTTTTGAACGACCTAAGGTTAGTATAACTGGGAGAAAAAAAACGTCAATTACGACAGATATCTTACGGCAAGAGAGGAAGCCGACCACCCATAAAATGGAAGTTTGCATAAGAGAAAGTAGAAAACTATGAAAATCAAGGAGGCCATAAAGGCGTCCTACAATTGTAGGAATGATTGCCTATATGGCCCTTATACCTTATTTTGGGAAGGGTGCATGAGCAAATCTCCAGTTTTCTGGGAAGGTGCCGGAGTCGTAAGATACCTGGGAAAGACGCGAAAGAACAGCTTATTGCCCACATAGTTTAGGGAACTCTTTGAATCCACGGCACAGGCGTGAGGGGAGACGGCCGTGGTGGAGTTGGCAGCAAAGATCTTGGCAAGCACTTCCACCTCAGCGTCCAGAAAGACCGACTGCTATTGCGCTACGACATTATCCTTTTGCCTAATTTTTACACCGTGCTGGTATTTGGCAATGCGAACCGCTTCGTTATATTTGTTTCTCGACTCGACGTCAGCTTGTCTGTTCTCTATAGTGGATTAAAAAGGTTCTGTATGCCTTGATCTTCTGCCGACGAGCAGTGTCGCACGATTGATTGTATTTTTTTTTCATACCAGCCGTTGGACACTGGTTTATGCATTTTCACTGCATGATGAATGAATTCCTCCATTCCCAAGGTAGATAATTTCAGTTATTGACGAACTTAATAATATGATAAATTGATGTACCGATTAGTTTAACTAAAGTTTTATTTTACTTCCAGATATTCCCAATACTGCCTTTAAACAAGAATGCGACCGATTGTTAGGCATAGTAGAAAAGCAGCTTCTAGAATTAAAACTGAAGAACTCTGAGGCAAGTTGTACTAACTTGGACCTAGAACAGCTCTCCGAGAAGATACGATATCTAGAATCCAAGCAAAAGAATCTAGAGGCAATCATTAGTCCACATACATCTAGCAGTAAGAACATTAAAGCTGATATAAATGAAAAGTATCCGGAAAATCTATCTAGGGAATCACTAATCGACTTGAATACAGTGGTGAACCTTCCTCCTGTACCTGAAGACATATTTACAAGTTTTAACAACAAACCCAAAAGATCCTCAAGCTTATCTTCACTGAAAAGCATGCGGAAAATAAAGATGTTCTTGCAGAGAGCCGAAAGTTCCGATGATGAAGATAGCTCGGAAAATGATGAGCGAGATTATCCTAGATCATTTTATGTACGTATGGTAAGCCAGGGGTGACCAACCCGTCACTCCATTTTTTAGATGTTATGTAGGTTTCTATAGAACCACCTACATCGGCTCCAAATGGAGTGATGCGACTAATTTTAGGCTAATCGAATATTTAGATCTGATAATTTAAATTGCTCCGAACAATTCAAGCCGCGATACATCCATGAAAGTTTTTGATTATATGGTTGTATCAAATTTGGCTTGATGGAACGTGTGAATGAGGAGCTTAACGTCGCGAACCATCATGTTGAGCCACATCAGCGTCATCGCATTGGTTGTTCAATCGTTGTGCGCATAGTAACGGTCCTCATAGTATTCCGACAATGCCACACATCAAAAAGTACGCGTTTTTGGCTTTTCTATTCGTCATTTTCTGTCAGAGCGATCCACAGGACCTGTGCTTTTGGTTAACGTATTGTGAGTCAGTAGGTCTGTCAGGTCTGGTTGCCCAGTTACCAGATAATTTCAGGGAGGAAGAAGGGGGAGCAAAGAAAAAAGAAGTACGTCAATTTGAGGGGTATCTTGGCATTGCTAACTAGTATTCGGAAATTTTAAATTGATCCTAAAATTAATTTAGAGATTGGTTGTTAAAGAAGATATATAATTTTCGTTGGATCTAAAGTCGCACGATTTAGTTTTATTCTTAGTTCGAGCCGCGGCCTTATGTACTTGCGAACTTGCTCGACTGTGCAGTCTACTGACTCCCGCAACAAAGAGTTGCTATGCGATTCAGCTTGACTATAACATAGCTGCGTTTGTTGTTTGATGTAGTCCCTCATATAAGGGATGTCAAGGTCCCTGTAAAGGGTCTCATTGGAGACATACCATGGGGCGTTAGTGACTGTACGCAAGGTTCTGTTCTACAAAGCGTGCAGATCACGCAAATGCGTTTTGGCAAGAAAACACCAAGCCACACTTGTTTAGTTTTTAACTCATCCCCTTGTCAAGAGTGACAGCGAGATACCTAGCGGAACTTTCTCTGTGGTACCCGGGCTCTGTTCTCTGAAACCTCAGAGCTACGTTTCTTAGTTGAATACATAGCCTGCATTTTTGAATGATTAATTTTTATCAGCCACCGATCCGCCCATTCCAACACCGCGTCCATCGCAATTTGCAGTCTGTAGTGATCCAGTTTCCTAGAATACGATTGGGCCATCAGGGCAGTGTGATAAGCATAGGGATAGAGTTCACAGTTGCTGGGGCAAGGGACGTTATGAATAAAAAATGAATAAAGGAGCGGTCCAAGAACCGAATCCTGAGGGACACCGGCTTTGATGTGCCGGGTTGTCGACAGAACGTTCTTAATTTGTATAAGAAACTTTCTACCCTCAAGGAAGTATTTCAAAAGTTTTAGGAGCTAGAAGGGGGAACCCTTTTGGATCAATTTGTAGAGAAGGCTTTTGTGCCACACCTTGTCAAATGTCTTTGAGACATCCAGAAGCCAGAGCTTTCTTTACGACTAAATCTCATGGTTACTCGCTCAACAAGCCTAATCGCCTGTAACTCCGTAGAAGACTGAAACCCAAATTGCACGTCAGGAATCACAATGTGGTCTGACGATAAATTTTTAAGGTGACGTAGAATCATATTTTCAGCGAGCTTAGAAGGAGCTGACAGTAAACTAGTGGATCGGTTACCCTGGGAAAATATCGAACACACCTTTAGAATCATTATAACATCAGCGGTCGTCCACGCCGCTGGAAAGTACTGGGTCCTTAGCATGGCACTGGTTATTGCCACGTTGAGGACTTCCGTGAAATCAGCTTTAGCGCCTTATTAGTGATTTGATCCTCCCTATGCGCTTTACGCACCTTGAGGTCTTTAATATGACCTTGAAGCTCTGTTGGTGTGCAATGCGGGATCTCGGGAGATTCCGCTGATGTGTCAGACTCCTCTGAGGAAAAATCACTAAAGGACGGGCTACTACCACTGACGCCGTTGGCTCTAAAATATTTCCCGACGGATCTTACAATGTGTTGCATTCAAGGCATATCTTTCCATAGCATCAGCGAAAACCTCGACCTTTACCTCTGTTCTAAAGACTATGTCCCCAGGACCGTGGATGTGCGGGAGTTAATCTCGCTTTCCGTTTCTGAGCGACTTTGCAAGTTTCCAGGGAGTCAAACATCGCCGCCAGAAAGTCGCTTCATTGCTCATTACTGAATTCATTAAGAGCATTTCTCACTTCATGGACAAGATTCGTCGCTCTGCGAATGTCACCAGGATGAGCATTTTTGGCTTATCAGGCATTATAGTCGTTCTACTCATAGTGTCAATTATATGAAGGAGTATCGCATCAATGCATCCGATTCGCTAAAGTTGAGCGCGTTGTAAAAACATACATCTACCGTCACTCTAAATAATGCTGCTAATTTTGGACTGACTCAATATTCTGTTCGACGCTCCAGACTAATGAGTAGTTTATATTGGAGTCGAATTTGACATGATGAAGCAATTATGAATTAAGAGCCTATCCCAGCGGTCATGATATCGAGCCACATCTCAAATATTCGTTGTGTAATGATTGTGAAAATGACAGTTCCCATAAAAAACTGTTGTGGTTAAGCAGTTGTAATATTTAGATAAATTAATTTCAAATTGACAATTCTCTTTTGATACCAAATCGTGTAATCGCGTAAGGCCTTGAATGCTAAGGGACAACTTACAGGTTTTACGAATAACTTCATGATATCTTCAAACTGATTAGCTTTTTGGCCCTGTGCCTGAGGTTATAGATGTTTAATATTAAAAGAAGCTTATCAACCTGGAATTAAAATTTCCCTCTTATACTTCAATACAATCAAGGTATCAAAAAACATTGAAGACCTTCTTTGTAGCAAATTGCATTCTCTACAAAAAAGCTAGTTTCAATTTCTCGTAAGCTGTTGCCAACACAACAATCATAAGAGCAGTGATAAAGAACTTAATTCCCTTCAAAATTGTTCAGAATCAAAAATTGTGTTCGAATGCGCGAAATTTCGATAGGGAGTTCATAAGAACAAAAAAAAATTAAAAATTGAAAACAATATGTTGAGGATGGAGATCTAATGAAGAATTTAGCTACACCCTCTTCTAGAGAAGAAAAAGTGGCAACGTTAATGTACAATTTATTTTGAAATCCCACTACAAATAAAGTCGGGAAAAATTTAAAACGATTTTGAGAAAGTTCGATTTTTCCTTCTCTCTTCGGAAGTACTTTCTAAGCGGCATCTTGTTAGTTACCTATCTCTTTCAGAAATCCCAATGGTGTGGGTCGAATTTGAATCACCCGGTATATATTATAATTATGGGCTACACAAGTCTTGTTCTTTTTAGGGTGACAGCGAAGACGGAAAACTGCCCAGTCCCCACAGTCCAATATCCAAGAAGATGTTGGGTAACATAAAAGAGGAAACTCACGATTAGAAAAATCACTTTAATAAATATACCAATAAAAATTACAAAACATTGCTACTCAGGTCTAGAACGAATCATTAAAGCTAATGTTCCCGAAACCTTGCGTTGGGTAGTTATGCCTAACAGGTATTTCATCTTTTCGCAACGCCTTTATGCATTTGTAGAACAGGAAAAACACGATCAAAAATATAAAATATACTTCAATTCTGTATCCAAACAGCCAGGCAAGAAATGCTCCAATGCAAAGGTAAGTTAGGAATCTGTAACTGGCCAAAAAGCGCATACTAATCCTAGCCGGCAGGTTCGTGCTGATTCTTGGAGATCCAGGTGTAGACTTATCGTATTTGTAAATAGTCATTGGTGGACAGAGAAGCTGCCTTGTTAATCTTCCTATGAACGTTGGTTGGTGGTAGAGACGGTAGAATGTTTGACCATGCTGAAAAAATAAATTAATGTTTAGAAAAAACTAGAAAACACTTTTCAATAGCAAATCTAAGTGGAAAATAACAAATATTTTTCAAGTGTAGAAGATTTTGCAATAGAAAGTCCAACAAAAAATTATATAAACATTAAGATATTAACAAAAACAAAAAAAAACTCAATTAAAGTGAAAAAGAATAACGTGCTTGATATTAAATATTAGAATTACTTTTTTAGTTACTATTTAAAAAATTGGAGATGTTATGAAAACATATTTAATCGTATTCTACGCTTTTTTACTATAATTGATTTTTTGTTAATATGTATCTTCATTTTTATTTGATCTTATTCCAAATTAATTAGTCATGCTTGATTTTTAACTTTCTATTGCAGCAACACAAACTCTCCTATACTTAAAAATTATTTTCTACTTTTTAGTTCGATTTGCTATTAAAGCGTGTTTTCAGTTTTTTGAACCCTTAATTTATTTTAATCTCAAAACTACAACAAAAGTACTTATAACCAAGAGGTTCGATTTTTGATAAATTTTATATTTCACAAAAAATCTAAATTTACTTCCATTTTTTCAAATTACGAAATATCCAAAAAAAATTCAAAATTTCCAATTTTTTTTCAAATTTCTAAATCTTCAATTTATTTTCCAAATTTCCGAATTTTTAAATCAATTTACAAATCTTCAAATCAAATTTTTTTATTAATTTCAAAGTACATTTCATTTTTTAAAAATATTCTTATTCGATTTTTTTTTCTCAAGATTGTATTGCCAACGACCCTTGAGCCCTATGCAAATTTTCAAATTAGTCACTCTTGTTGAAATTAGTGTAAATTACGTTGGAAGATTCGGTTACATACATACACACAAGTCAAGCTAATAAAAGCCTATTAAGAATAAATGTCATAGTATACATATTCCATTTGATACTTACAACTTCATTGATTTTCAAAGATATCTGATACAGCATTCTAACTAGAAACGGATTTTCTGTACTCCTAATAGGATGTAAATCGGGATCACCGTCATATTTAATATATTTCATCCTTTCTCGCACACTTTCTGGTGTAAGGAATTTGAAATCATAGGACATATCGAAGCTATTGTTGTTTAGTGTACTCGATGAAGATTCGGGCTCTGCTTCGCAAATCTGGAACAGGCACATTATTTTCTGAAATCTCTACCAAAAAGAAGTTTATTAACTTGGCAAAGTTTTACAAGGAGCTCAGTGGAAGCTAATCGCTGTAATCTTGACATATGACCTTCTGCGACACAAAATTTGGACAATATAAAATGTTCACAAATAAAAGTATCCATCTATCTTAGTCACAGTCTTCTTTGTATTTGAATCTTGAGTATGCGAATACAATTTAAAATACTGTATTTAGCATTCATAGTAGAATACCTGATTTCAGTATTCAACACAAGTATGCTAAGAAGCTTTCGCTGTTTAATTCAACTGACAGAAGGCTGATTGTAGCAATAAAAATAAAGTTCGTATATTTTGCGGGTTTTGTTTTATTACTATCTGGCTTTCGCCAGATATTAAAGCTAGTATTTGGTCATTTTTCATATGGAAATTATCACATATTCCAAAAACAACAGATACAAACCTCTCCAGTGATACTGAACATATCAATTAGATTCTGCAAGGCAACCTGCATATACATTGGAACCTTCTGCCGATCTTTCAGTGTAAATTCGTCATTTGAAACTGAGCCTTGCAAGAAATATTTTATGTGACCCCAGAAGCCAGAATACATTTTTTCCTCTTCTAATATTTTCATTTTCACAATTTCCTCGGCTTGCCTTATCGATCTTTTTATTTGAATTACCAAATCATACACCTGAAAAGATTTATTAACAATGATAATAATCAACACCCTCAAGATGAGTTTAATGACTGAGAATGTCAACTTGGAGACATGTTATAAGCGCTAAAAACGTGGATAGCGTCACGTTAAAGTTGGCCTATCAGGTAAATGCAAAGTGCAAATTATCCGTTCCACGATGGCGTTGACCGTGCGTTGAGTGCGCGGCAAAGACATACATTTACTGTCACTCGCAAACAGGTTGCCGTCATCTTACTCCTTCATGTGCTCTACTTCCATATCATGAAGTCTATACATCAGAAGAAACTACGGCATTGCTGTTCGTGCCTTAAAAACGACCCTTTAACTTGACTCCTGGGGTACCAGCGGTGCTTTGACAGGGTTGCCGTATTGGGGGACTTTACTTCAAATTTGGAGTATTTTTTCTTGAGGAATTTTTGAGGATATAATGTTCTGGGAGAAATGGCACGTTTTTAGAACAAAAAGAAGCATCCGCTCTTTGAACCAACCCTACCTCTTTCCATTAATTAATTGTGATTTGTAGGAGTTTCTTTTGGAAAAATAGCAATTCTGAGGGATTTTTGTGCTTGTTCTGGGAAAATTCTGTCCAGCCCCATCTTACAATGATGTGTCTTAACACAGCTGCCATATGAACACTTTCCTGATAATCTAAGACCCAACCGCTAGAATCTGCAGGTATCTATTTTTTTATAAAGCTTAATTTTTATGAATGATAAATAATAGCAGTTTTAACCCTAAAATGCCCCGTTTGAATTTTGCTATATGGGCGCCAATCTATCATGTATAACATGTCACTAAAGCTTATATTCACGTAACAGGATTACCTCGGTGGCTGGTGGATCTGAAAACAGTGGCTTATAAACAAAATTCGGCCCTTCCAGTTCAAAAATCGTTTGTTTGACTATAGTCGACCACTTCTTCTCCATATACGAATCCCTACTGAGAAAAGAAGTTCTATTGATGATAGGACTAATGCTCGGCTTTTTGGAGGCTTCGAATGTTGTGTTGGTGGACCAATTTGATGTTGGCGATAAAGGAGGTAGGTTGTTTGTCCAATGGTTTGTCACGTGTCTATGATGTGGGGATTCTCCTTCCCAAAGGTAGACAACCCTATCACTTTCTACGCATTGTTCTACTTCTCGGAGATAGGCTGGTAGGTTGGGCTGGTCAAATACCTATAAAAAATATCAATATTAGTAATATTTACGCATACCAAAGACTAGCATGAAAGAAAAAGTAGGCACAGAGAAATGTAGCCTTCTACCACGTGTGTCATGAGTGGAACGATGATAAGCGACTCACAACGAGTGCCCGAGTGCCGTCGATTCAATCGGTTTCCTACACTATGCAGGAAGTAACCTTAACGCATAGGACCGTAAAACAGGTGCTCTTGACGCTTGACATCAACAAAGCTTCTAGTACGGACTTGATTCCTACCGTTGTATTGAAGAGATGTGCAGCGGAGCTTGCTTCAGTTCTTTCGCGTCTCTTCCAGATATGTTACAAATACGGCACTTTCCCAGACAACTGGAACGTCACGGCTTGATTAGCGACAGTCAGTATGGTTTCTGGCACCAGCGATCCACGGGAAACCTCCCAGCTTACGTCACGCAACTTTGGAGTAAGCTCATAAAGTCTTATGGTGAGGATCATGTCGTTGCTCATGATATCACGAAACCATTCTATCAGCTGTGGCATGCTACCCTCTTATGCAAACTTCAGAGACGCTTTGCAGATGGGTGGCTCACTTCCTCTCTGGTTGCAAGATATCCGTCGTAATCTCTCAATGTCAACGCAGGTGTTCCTCATGGATTGGTTTCAACTCCGTCATTGTTCCTCTTGCTTATGAACGACCTTTTCTGTACGATCAATCCGATCCACAGCTTTGCCGATGACACCACTATACATAAAGGAATTCACCTTGACAAGCCGATCTCTGCCGGTGAGCTAGAGAAAAGAAGATTAATGCAACTTCCTCTCTGACCAGAGACCTGGAGGTTATCACGGCTTGGGGACGCAACAATCTGATAAAATGTATTGCTTCCAAAATATAGTACTCTACCTTGACTAACAAGAAGCGCGCTATTGCTCATCCGGTTTCGATGGATAGCCGAGTTCTACCAACGAGCCATTCATTTCGGCTGGTTCGAGTCCAAATCACCAAGGACTTGATATGGCATTAACAAAAAGCTAGGCTATTTGTTTAGCGCTAAGAAGTACTTTTCTCCACATAACCTCCTTACTCTGTACAAGGCCCATATAAGTCCTAGGGTCGAGTACTGCACACGTGATTACTGTGCTGTCACCCCGACTACGTTATCCATGCTCGACGCTATTCAGAGGAGGCCTGTCCGACTGATCGAAGGCTCTTCTCTAACGGATATTCTGCCGACCTTTTCGCACCGACGAACCATCAGCGATGTAGCTCTCTTCTACCGCTATTTCAACGGACTTTGCTTCTCAGAGCTCTCCTCCATGATGCCGCCACTTGATGTGCCTGCCAGACAGACCCACCTCACTCCGGTCTCCCATCCTAGCTGTTTCGAACTTCGTACATCCAGAACCTCTCGATACACAGCTCCTTTGTTCCTAGGGTATCGAGATTGCGGGACAATCTGCCTGAGGGGTTTTTTCTAGTTCTACTAACCTTAGGCTGTTCAAAAATCGGATTAACAAAGTTTCTTTATGCTCATCATAGCAGTAGCGATGCCCTAGTATTTAGGCGCCCGCCTACAGCGCTGCTTCGGCATTAAAAAAACAAATATTAAGTAAAACATGGTTCGCAAAAATGGGGTTGTCTGTTGCTTAAGAATATTTTCTCTGATATTACAATAGAGAATGCCCACTAAATGTTTTTGATTGAAACGTTTACAGTAAAGATATGTCAATACATGTGGTTTTATTGGTCAGACAAGCATAGGGGATTATCGAGATGTATACCACAGGATAAGTTTCAGATGTTAAATTTCTGCTCAATTAAAAATCCAACTTTAGTTACCTAGGTTACCTGTCCGTAATGCAATATCAAAATAGAATAATAGACAAATACAGTAAAACATATTCCCAATATGATAATGCGCATGTTCAAATTTAATGAGCCTTTCTTTGTTATGACAGTTACAATAGTTTTACCTTTGTGATTCTATACAGCATAAGAGACATCTTTGGACTGGTTAAATCTACCCTTCCAAACCTCGGTAACAATTGCTGGAATATCACCACATATGTCAGCAGATTTTCTGCTATAAATGGCAGATATTCTCTGTCTACTGAATTCTGGGGCGCTAATGTGACATCCTCTGCGTCTGGATTAGGACTCCTTTTGTTGCTATAACAATTTTTATCAAAATTAAACAAAGAAAAACACTTAGATAAAGATTAAGGACTCTATGAAGTAGCACGGAATGTCTATCACCTGTTAACAGCAAAATCGGTATATTATGGTGTATTTTTTAATTCACCGGTTGAGCAACCGGTGCCACCGGTGGACCAGACATCCGTCCTTTTTAATTCAATCGGTTGCTGCCGTCACCATACAAAGCTGTCAACAGTGTCAACCATAAGCACCGTATCCATCAGTGGTGGAATCAATCGGTGAATTAAAGAATTCACCTATTTACATACAGCTTTTGACATTTGAATGAGTTGACAGGTACAACTACGAGTAGTTGGTTGTCAAAAGTTCTGTACCACATCTCCAACTATCACAATCAAGTTTCTGAAAATGGGCCACCCTCATTGGATGCAAATGTCATAGGGTGATGAATGAGTATCCAGTACAGAAAAATACATGCATAAAATTGTACAGGATGGCCAATTAAGAATTCGAAGTACTGTATCTGGGAACGTATCCATCGTAGAGGCTTGCGGCAAAAAAGTTCTTACTAAAATCTTGAATGTAAAAAAGTGATTTCTGCGAATTCCTCTATATTAACCTGACATAAAAATACCTAATCTTTAAAATCGAAGGTAACGTGAACTTTATTTGTTTGGCAACCTAAAATTTAGGCCCAAGAAAATTTTATACCGAAATCTTAAATTTATATTTTTTTAAACTGATTTTTCTGGAATTCCCTTTTATTATTAAGTTGTGGGCCTAAAAACGACCGATTTAAAAAAGAACGGTTTTTCATGCTCCCGTAGATGCTCGAAATGGCTCTCATGCGTAGGCAATACGAATACATAAAAATCAATACCAGTTAAATCTTGTGATCGCAACGGCCATGGAAACAGACTCCCTCTTCCAGTCCAGCGCTGTTGAAATACTGCATTAATATGCTCTCGCACAATAATAGCAAAATGCTAGGCAACCATCCAACTGCAAAACCAAGTTTTGCTGTGTTTCCAGTGGCACATCTCCCAACAACAACGGTAACTGAATGTACAAAAAGTCAAGAAAGGGATTGCCATTCAGGGATTGCTTGAATAAATATGGCCCAATATTTCTGCCTCACAGTATGCCACACCACACATCGAAACTCCATTGCCGCATTGGTGCTGAACTTCACGCAACCAATGCGGATTTTCTGCAGACCAATAATGCATATTATGCAGATTGACTCTCCCGTCACTATTAAAGGTCAAAGAATTTAAAAAAAAATTCGCGTATCATGCCTAACATCCGATGGCAATATTCCAACCTCCGATCAAAGTCTTCCTCTTTCAAGGCCTGATACGAAACAATATGATATGGGTGCATTTTAAAAGTAATTAAAAAAAATAAATATAAATACATGCCCGTATTTTGATGGGCATTAAAAGTGTCCTATGGTCCTTCAAAATATGTTGAACCGTTGTTCGTGATATACCCAACTCAAGGGATAATACCCTTATGCTAACATGAGGATTTCCTTCAATATATCTCAATATGCGGTTAATGTTTTCTTGTGTTCTTCCAATTCTTTTCCGTTGAAACGTAGACCGAAAACTACCATTGGCTCGTAAGCTCGCCACTAATCGGGGAAAAACTCTCACATTGCAAAGACGCCGATTTAGATATAAAGTCGCGTAGACTCTTTTTGCTACTGCGGCATCCTGAAGACGTTCAAAATAAACTGCAAGCATTTAAACAGCTTCATCGTTCGTAAAACGCATTTGGTAAGCACAAAAATTCTTCAAAGTAACGCGAAACTAGTGACAATTTGAGGATTATTTATGTTTTGATTAGGTATTTGTTTTGTTGTATTTCATGGCCTGCTTCGGTTAATTGTCTTTTTCGTACATACGCATAGTGAATATGCATTAAACAAAAAATATGCCTTTTGTTATTAGCATTACTTACTTACCTTTCAGCGACATTTTGTAATATTTTCCAAAATGGTGATTTTATTCTGTTGAATACAAAATACTTCCAGAAAAATTAGTTTGAAAAAATAAAAATTGTTAAAATCGGCTCAGCCGTTTCGAAGATTCAGGGTGTTTTTTACGGAAACCTTTGAATACCTCCCACCACTTTATTTTTAGAAATACAGGAAAAATTATCAAACAAAAAAGGTTTTTATTAAGTTAATATCGCGCAATTCACAGAAACATCATTTTTTAGATTCAAAATTGCAGTTACGCGCCCTAGCGGCCATTTCAGAAACTTGAAAATATTTTAGGGGTTTTTTATCTTGGCAGTTTTAGTCATACCTTTTTTGCCGCAAGCCTCTACGATGGATAGGTTTCCAGATACAGTACCTCGCATTCTAAGTTAGCCACCCTGTACATCACTAAATGTTTTCATAAATTAAGGCAATCCATCTATGTTTTGACTTTTTAATCTTTGAACTTTCTGCTTGTGCAATACTGTTAACACTATCAATAAATGAATTTCAGACCAACATCTAGCTTTATTGAAATACCCTAACTCGTATGCATAATCTGCCAAGTTAACATATGGACACTTCGTGGTATATAGGGTCTATTTCAAATGTTAGTTAAATAGTCCTGGCTAAGAAATAAAAGCTATAAATTATGTTAATTTCACTCACAGGTATTTGATCAGGTTGTTTGGCGGGTACCTCCATGGTTGTATGTAGGTTAACCAAAGTTCCAAAACCAGCCTGAATGACCCATCCAAAGGCCACCTATGTATCAAGTTCCTTAGGAATATATAAAATTTTCCTTGTATCATTGGTATTGTTATTTTCTTCAGTTCGGCCAGATGCGTGTCATCTGCCTTGGCACTTTGGGCAAATGCATGTAACTGTTTTATTAGAACTCTCACGACACGCATGTATTCACCAGTTGGTAGTTCATTTGGATAAAGTCGCTGAAAATAAGGATTCATAAAGACTATGAGTATAAGTTATAGAAATACATCACATCAATGCAACTTTATCTATAACTGAAAGTACAGTGGTGGCAGGTTTCTGTTTATCGTCAATCAGCATCGACCGACTGACAGGTAGCTATGGAAACAAGCTTACGAGTATACGTTTGTTAAGGTTTTTCCAACTTTTTCCAATAGGGACGAATCGATGACGGTGTGGATTAAAGCAAATTGTGTGTTCACAAAATTCTGTTTTATATAGAAAACCCATGTATAACAAAATTTATGGAATACTAACTTTCTGCTCTGCGGTTCTGTAGGATCAGATGTTCATAACATTACTTAAAAACAATGTTTTGTGTTAGTGTAGTTTCAAGCGCGCCAGGCCGCGGGTAACAGCTGGCGTAGAAGAAAACGTATGTATTGCTTGCCGTTCACAGTGGGGCGATGGCTAGTCGCGCTGATGCAAACTTAACGCTGACGGTTTATATGTTTACGTCTCTGCGTATTGTGGTTCAGTCGTGATGTTGACAGAGTGTTTGGACAATCACATGTATCTATACTTGAAGTTAAAAAAAACACCAACTAAATCTAAATTATCATTTATACACCCTTACTTGTTTCGGCCGGACCAGCGACTGAGCGCTTCCGCACCAGATACCTCTTGCCAAATTCGATTAAGCCATTTGGGCTGTAGGCCGTGAAATTTATTTCGCGGATAAGATAGATTATGATCTATGTAGCAAATTTCGTCCAGATCCGTTCAGCTTTTTGGCATGATTGAATAAAGAACATCCAAACTTTCTCATTTATAATATTAGTAGGGAAGTAGGGATGACATGTATCAACTGGCAGCCGTAGCTTCACACAGTCGCAAGAACTCAATTTTTAATAACAACTGGATTTGAACAATTGTTCAGACTATTTTTTAGATTGACCTTGACATCAGTGCAGCTTACTGTTGAAGACATGCGACTTCAGGAAACCTAAAAGTCTAATGGGGTCAAATCTCACGATCCTGGTGGCCAAAGTAAATCAAGATCTACTTTTAGCTAAATTAGGAAATTTTGGAGTATTAAGCAGTCATCTTCCTGGTTTAGATGCTACCTATCAGGATGAACACAGTGTGTCAGAAACACTGGATCATTATCTAATTCCATCAATGTCTTTTCATGTGTACCCCATGGCTCCCACATTGGTCCAGTTTTATACAATTTATCTGTTAACGATGTTGCAGAATCTATATTAAATAGCAGTTATTTGATTTTTGCATATGATCTTAAATTATTCAGAACAGTGTGAAATATCCCCGATGCGTTTGTAAGAGTTCTCAGAAATCTTACTAGGTGGGGTAGTACTAATAAGATCAACATCAATTTGAATGAATGCTACCACATAAGCTTCAGCCGCCGTAGTTCAAAGTATTTCATGTATGAATATAAAGATGACAACATTTTAGATCTACTAAACATCTCCGTCTGTCTTTCCAATGTTATACTGCTCTTGAGTATTTTAGAGTAGGACACAGTGATAAAGTCTCCAAATCTAATTACTGACATTAACTCCATTGAATCAGCAAAAGTAAATTACAAGCAGCTATTAAAGTAGATCGAAGTCAGAATGCTTCAGAACTAATGAGTACTTTGAAGGGAATTTTTTGATTTATGTTTTCTGTTTAAAATAGTTAATGGTGTTATAGATTACCCAGAGGTGATTGCACAAATATATCTTGATGTTAATGGAAGGCGAACTCACAATACAGAACTGTTTTTTAACTCCACATAATTCTTCCAATTATGTATCAATGAGCCAGTTACTACAATTCTTAGATCTGGCAACGCTGCCGTAAGCTACAATATAAATATTTCCAGAAGCAATATTGTTTCCATTTAACTTTAGTTTCTTAAATTTTAAATATGAGTACGTTGGGTATCACATGAATCTTTAGTTCTTCTTTAGCTTGAATAATTTATATAAAGCTTCTGTAATATGTCAGATGAAGGTAGTGTTTGTGTATGTAATGGGAAACCGTAAATAAATAAATTCACGTCACCTCTATGAGAGTTAACCATTATGCCGATGATTATGGCGTTCACTGTGGGGCATATAGCACCGGCGTGCTGTAACTACATATCATCCACATGTCCTTGTTTGTACTGTCCAATTTGGGTCAACAACAATTGGTTATCATTGATCTGTCTTGCTCGCCGTTAGTGATAAAGCCTTTGGTCAAAAATTCACAACCAAACAACTTTTTGTGGAAACACTGCTACCTCAAGTCGCCCATAGACCATAAGGGTTCAAAGTGAACAAAACCCAGGCTGTTGGCCAAATTCATCCGGATCTCTAAGGCTGGATATATTGCAAAACATAAACTCACCATAGGAGGTATATTAGCATAAGAAGTATTTAATATATTTGCTGGCTCGTTTACTTGGTTACTGTGTAACCACATATCTGTAAAAACTGTTAAGACTGTCTCACTCCTCCAGATATCATTTCTTGGATGGTGTACATCTAAATTCTTATGATGTGCTTCATCGGAGTTTTTGACACTATCGGGATTTATTAATCCAGAACTTGGTGGCTGATCCCTGAAAAAATAAATAAAATATTGAAGTTATAGTGATTACAAGTATTAGTCATGTAAAACTACAACATTCATATTCTATTACACTAAAAAAATGAAAAATACAATCTTTCAAGTAAACAAATTACATCCAAAAATAACATAAAAAGTTCCCATAAACCTAGGTATTAAAATGCCTTATGGCCAAGATACAAACTTAAAGATTTCTATGCTGCTGTTGAGACACATTAAAGACAAAACTTGAAATAATGCTGTGTTGAGAAACGAATTATGTAAAATAAAAACCTTATGTGAAATGCAATGAATGTTTCAGAAAAGTCAGTGGTACAGAAAGTATTTTGCTTTTCCATCCTGTAGGTATCAAAATGTTGTAGTTCCTACACCACTGGTATAGTTAAGAGTCAGAAAAAGGTATGTTTGTATTGCTTTTTTGATACAACAGGTATAGTTTTATAATAGTTTTGAAATTCAACACACTGCAACTCAGTGAGGAGGCATTTATTATGATATTTTTGACCTAGTTTTCTCCTAGAAATAGTTAAAAACTTTAGTAACATTAAGAATAAATATTGAATTATGAAATTTTAGACCTGAAGAAATGATTCAAGTATGGATAGAGTTACTATACATAAAAAATAAACAGCGATTTTTGAAAATCTCGAGATACTTGAGCCTCCTAACTTACAATGCTTAAAAAGGATGCAACTCAAAAACTGACTTTGGTGTTTTTAATCTTGCCTCCCCAGAGGATTTCTTGAGTGTATAAAGAAATACTGAAAACTTAAGACCTGTATAACAGCAAATCCTTTGTGCTAATCACACTCATGGTGGGGCTTACTGAATGTGAGTGCAAGTTGCAGCAACTCAAAATATTTTTGCATAGCATGTTTTCTTGTGTTTAACCAAATTACTGCTTTTTATATTAAGTCTACAGGGTTACTGGTAATTTTCCATATTCCTTCCAGGGCATGATAGGGGGTCCAACATTCAACAAACTTCACGCTTAATTTTAAAGTTTATACTTGAATTGAGTGAAGCAAATCATTAAAAACATGCTTGGAATAAAGTTGTGCCAAGCTCGAATAATTTCTAGTACATTGCAAGTATGCATTACTAAAAAATTCTCCCATATTGATGGCTTTCCAAAATGGTACTTAGCATTGGTATCAGAGCATTTAATTCAGTATAAATGATCGATCAAACCAATGTAGGTCAAATAATAACCCCTTAATTAAATGGTAATTTTAATAACTATAATTACTTCTAATAATAGACTGTATCATTTTATCCTCATCGAAGTTTGGCAGTGTTGTTCCACTTAAATGAGAAATGTACTATTTTTTTCCAATCTCAATTTGAGAGTTTCAAAAAGAATGAGCATATATGAGTATATAGTTGGCTACAGCACCATCTATGAGAAACCATTTCAAACTAGATGTATAATTGAAGACACAAGTGGATAAGGTGTCATATAACAAAATCATTGCATGGAGAAAATTGACTTTAAACATTTTTTATTGGGGTTTTTCACTTTATTGACATTTTACATATTTTAGTTAGTCTATTACCTTATTTTTATAACACAGTAATCACAGAATGAAAGAATCACTCCTGAAGGTTAGTTTAAAAAAAAATGTTACATGACACCTTTATCTACTTGTGTCTTCAATTATTGTGGTGATGAGAAAGGTGGCCGTCACAAATTCTCATAGTAATAATTCTTCAGACAATGAGATTCAGTATTATGTTGGGTGTCTTTAGGTAGAATATTCTAATCAATGATCCCAGCAAATTCTCAAGTCACACATCACACACCACTTTGTTCTAAGGGAAACTACTATAATGTTTTTTAGAATACCTCAATTTGAGTACAAACCACAAAAATCATTTGCTGACTCACCCAGAGTTTTTTATTATTTAGCCTGAAATGCCCAACTTTGCTGGTTATTGCTGAAAAAATGCAAAAATTGAAAAATCCCCAAAACCACTGATTTTTGCCTAAACATATATGATGAGGTTCAAATTTGGTTTACTTCGTCATGTGTATGAGAGAGAAGCATGTGAAGTGTGCAATATGTATGTTACAAAGAGTGTGCTGATAGCATCAGTGTCCTCATACTACAGTTGTTAGGCAACAAGGTGCTTCTATCACTTTCTAACACACATATTGCCTGCTTATCAGGCTTGTCTCTGGTACACATTATAACCTCAGTGGTATTAGGTTTTCAGTGTATATAGGCTGAAGTTTGTCAAATTTTAGACCTCTTATCACACCCTGGAAGGAATATACCAGTAACCTGTATAATCAAATATATTTTTTCAAAATATGGTAATTTGATTAAAAAAAGCAGGTCATTAAATTTATTAAGCCCTACTGTGCTCTATATGGAGGTGAGTGACCACTCAAACAATTGAGAAAATTGCAGCTTCAAATACATAAATTTACTTACAGTAAGCTACTTTTCAATGCCTGTAGAGGGTTCTTTCCATTATAATAAATGACTGGTAAGACTACAGCTTGAGGGTCAGTGGGCAAAAAGTGGATGATATAATCACAGCAAAGTACATAATACACAGTATTCCAGGATGTAACATATGCTCCAGTCCTCTGTTGCCATGGGTTGATTAGATGATAAGCAAAGTGGAATATATAGTAATCAAATGGATCTGAAATCATTAAAATCATTGAAATAGTCTCTGAAAAATTAATTCAATAAGTATTATACATACTCAAAAACAAAGAGATAATTTGCTTTGTCTGTGGATTACATTGAACAAGTTCTGAATAAAAAGGATGTCCATGTGAATAGTCCAAGAACTGTCTTATCTTTGTCTGAAACAAGAATAAAACCCTTTTATTTATGATGGACATTATCCAAAGTATGTGAGAAATATGCATGTTTGAAACCCTTTTAGCATTAAAAAAACATTAATATTATGGCACAAATATCTATGTGTTTTGAATTCGGATATGGTGAAAGCTACAAAATTAGTTGAATGTGGGTGAAGTTGAGGATATTATTAAAAGTTGCACACATAACTTACTGGTAAGTATGATAAAGGAAACTCATATTTTATATTTGGATCTTTCAACAAAGCATATATTAGTTTGAACAATGGTCCACAGGGTGACAGAAAATGATGAAGCTGATGAAAGTCTTCGGCCTGTGCTTCTGTTATAGTTCGTAATCCCCATGCTAATGTCCCTTGTGGCCCAAATATATTGTCTATGAGCACCGGAAAAAAGCTATGGAGTTCCAAAGACTTCCTCGATCTAGGAGCACTGTTAGTTCAGCGCATCTTGCTCGAATTGGTAAGCTTAAAGCATGCTGGACACCAACCTTAAAAATTACAATATATTGTATAAAAATATGTGCGTCTGCTTTGTTCTTTTTACCATAAAATTGTCGTGTTCCTTGATGTTCATTTTAATATGTGATTATTTTCCTAAACAAGTAATTTTCCAGATTCAAAGAAACGAGTGCATAATTACTTTTTACCCGCTAACAAAATTATATTCAAACAAAACAAACCTTTTTTGAGGTTATTTTCTTGAAGCAAGACCGCTTGACATGTACGTTACTAGAGAGATGGGCCTAACTTGGACTTATCCATACAGGGTGTTCCTTAATGATATGCGAATATTTAAGGGTGTGAATCTACATGAAAAATTAATGTTAGTTTGATTTATAAACTATGATACAAAAATGGTTCCTTACAAAAACTCGGGGAGTTGAAGTTTTAGGAAAAAATGGAAATTAATTAATATTTTCAGAACCGCTTCAGATATTTCACTAATATTCAGTAAGTAGTGAAAGTTAATAAAGTTGCATATTTTTCAATGCAAAAATAACTTTTAGCCTTAGCAGTGGCGTGCTTACGGGTATTGACTTCGATATTTTTAAGAAAAAAATAGTACGCCAATGGTTTTTTACCAAATAAAAATTATTTTTGAATTTCCCGTTCAATTTAAAACAAATGATTTGTCTTGAATTGTTTTCCTTCGATGCGCCATTTTTGAGTAAAAAAATAAAAACCCTTCTATTGTCTAACTTGCACAATTATTATTAATTTAATTGGAAAAATTAAACACATCAGGGGTAATGATGAACAACAACTGACAACATAAACATAACATTAAAACCAACGAAATGATTACAAAATTATTGAAAATGGCCCCCTTCACTTAGTATGCATGCTTCCGCCCTCCTTCTCATGGAATTGCACACTCGTTGAAATATCCCTGGATTGTTTGTATTCCCACAAGCTGCAACTATTCTTTCTCTTACAGTGTTAATGGGACTTGTGCACACTAGTGTCTTAAGATAGCCCCACAAAAAAAATCTAAACTGTTGAGGTCTGGAGACCTTGGTAGCCATTCTTGGGGCCCACCGCGGCCAATCCAACATTTGGCTAAACAGTTTGTAAATAATTACGAACCGCTACACTGAAATGCGCTGGTGCACAATCATCCATGTACCACATATTGTTTCTTATTACTAACGGAACATCATCAAGCAGCAAACGCAATTGTTGTTGAAGAAAATTGAGGTAGGTATGTCCGTCAAGTCGTCCCGGCAAGAAGAATGGGCCAATAAAGTGGTTGCCAATAATTCCTGCATACGTTAACCGAAAATTGGTGTTGGAAATGGGTTTCGGTTACGGCATAGGGATTTTCTTCTGCCCACAAATGATTATTGTGGAAATTCTGAATGGCATTTCGAGAAAAATTAGCTTCGTCCGTGAATAGAATCAATGATTTAAATTGCGGATTTTGTGTAATTTTTTGAAGATACCACTGACAAAGGTCACATGCCTTGGAAAATCAGTGGGAAGAAATGCCTGTACTCTTAAAATATGGTAAGGATATAACAAAAAATCTACTAGAATTCTCCAAACAATTTGATGGCAAATATTTAAGTGTCTAGCGATCTTCCTTGAACTCGTTTCAGGATGTTCTGCGACTTCGTGCAGCACTGCTTCCTCAATTTCAGGTGTTCTCACACTTAGAGGTCTACCTTTAGATGTTCTTTTTCGGACAGAACCAGTTTCAACAAGACGACGATGAATATTAGAAGAGGTTCGACTATCTGTCAAAGCACGATCGGGATATCTCTGGTGATAAATCCGTCTGGCTTGCTCACCATTACCGTCGGCAAGGCCATATAGGTACGTAATGCATTTCCGATATTTCTGCATTTGAATAATTCACCATTATTAACAAGATTGCAAAAACTAAATGGTAAAAAAGATGTCACAGGCGAACAGATTTGAATAACAGAGACTTGTCAGATGTCAAAAGCCAGTGACATATTCCAGAGCAACTAGATATTTATTGCAAAATTGCATTCTTCAATTATTACATTAATTTTCTCGGGCAATAGAACGGTTTTTATTTTTTTACTCAAAAATGGCGCATCGAAGGAATTAACTGAAGAAAGATCATTTGTTTTAAATTGAACGGGGAATTAAAAAATAATTTTTATTCGGCAAAAAATCATTGGCGTACTACTTTTTTCTTAACAAATATGGAAGTCAATCCCCGTACGCACGCCACTGTTAAAGCTAAAAATTATTTTTGCATTGAAAAATATGCAGCTTTATTAACTTTTACTACGTACTAAATATCAGTGGAATATCTGAAGCTATTCTGAAAATATTATTGAATTTCCATTTTTTTCCTAAAACTTCAACACCCCGAGTTTTTGTAAGGAAACATTTTTGGACCATAGTTTATAAAGCAAACTATCATTAATTTTTATGTAGATTCACACCCTTAAATATTCGCATATCATTAAGGAACACCCTGTATACTACGTGTACGTAAGCGTATGCATTTTTTAAAAGCGAACAGGAAACAGGAAGACACTAACTTGTCATCGAGTCAATTCACACAACCAAGATCTCTATAAAATCAACTGGCCTGGCTGGTTGTCTCAACATCGATATCCGAATATTATTCAGGAGCTGCAAAGTGCTCCCAACTCTTGATTTCACACCTCTTCTTTCTTGCCACTCCTCTCTTCCTCCTTTCACTCTGTCATGCATGTTTTCTGATCTGTCTATCTCACTCCTTCCTCATGTCAAAGTATTTAACTTTAATAAAACGTCAAATGTTTCACGCAAGGTCATAAGTTACAGCTCTGCTATTTTCTAAACAACCGTTCCTGATTTCCAGCTGTGATGGCGAAAATCCAGAAATCTCAGCATCTTCCAGCAGAGGAAAAGCTCAAGTATCAATAGTGAAGATTTGTGTGATTTTGCTCCTGTTCCATATTCACGCCTAGTGCCACTCTGTCAGTGCTCACTGCACCTACGAAGTTTTGACGTTTCCAAATGTTATAATTTATAATAGATGAAAAAGTGTTTTCTGCATAAAAAATTCTCCGTTTTTTTCTAGGTAAGTAAAAATTGCTCGTTAATACTTCGAGTCTGCTATTCTATTATGTAGTTTACTCGAAACAGGACTATTTTTATAATACTGTAAACAATCATGAGTGTGTTTGTATTGAAGAAGGTAACATACCAATGAATATACTTGACTTATTATTCAAGCAATAAAGTTGTTGTAAGCTGTAATTAGAGAAGACGCATGTATCTCTTCATTCAGTTGCATTTTATCAGTCCTAGATAGCAATTTTCTAGGAGCTACTTTGACCTCATTTAGAGATTCCCAAACACTCCTAGTTTTTCCTGATAAAATCTCACATTACAGATTGTTTTACATTTCAGGCATGTAATATGTAATTAACCAAAGGAATGTTTTATGGTGGATTGTGTTGAAATAACAATGGTTTTTATACCATGTAATTACCATCCAACAAACTTCTGCTTCTTTACATGTCCTTTTTCTCAGAATGAACATTGCTCTTTGGAAATCAAAATGCTTTGAGTTTTTATTTATAATTCTGGACCAGAGCTTTAACCATAACCATTTTTTATTAAAACAAATGACAGATAATACATATTTATCTATAATGAAACAGCTTAATGGTGAAGTTTAGCTAATAACAGCTATTAACTAGGGGAAAATGAGTAAGAAACTGATCATCACGTAAACATGTCCTAGCAGTGAAGTATGTGCTGTAGATAAACATTCAAAAAGCATTGTTAAGAAGAAGAGCTTTTAAATTAATGTTGTCAAAAACTACATACAGGCGGGCTTTTTGTTCTATAGTCCAAGCTGTTTTACAACTTGCATGAATTGTATGAGAAGGATAATTTAAAAAGAGATGCACTAGGAAAGGGCATTTCACATAACTAAATTGGTGTTTCAGAGATAAGTAACTCACATAGTCACCTATAAGGTTGGGTAATGATATTTTACTAAATCTGCCATCTTAAACCAACCTATTATGCAGTAACAATCTAAAACGTGACCAAATTTTCTTAAACTAAATATGAACTGTATGCAGTTATTTTGTACAACAGGTATTCTGTTACAACTTGCAGCATCTAAACACGCGCCTATCGCGTTTTGTGTATTTATTCACTAAAGCAGTTCCTATGTAATGTTAGTGATTTTTAACAAAAAAATACAATTTAAGGTAAACGTCAGGAATTTTCATGAAAGTAACAAGTTTTAGAAACACCGTTCCCACTTTTGCCTATTATTTTTTGTATTTTAGTATATTATGTTTTATCTTTGTATAAAAAGCAAAAATTACAATAAAATGTCAGGAATTTCATGAGAGTCACTGGTTTTAGTAATACAGGTTTCACTTTTGTTTGTTATTTGTATTCTTCTATTTTATGTAAATTTTGTTTGCAAATGTTACATTTTTTGTATTACAAATGTTATTGACATTGCAATAAAAAAAATAAAATCACAAGTGAAACGCGTAGCACGTTCTTTTCAAGTGTATGTCGTTTTTGTCTTTAGGGTGCATTAACCTCAGCCAATAATATTTTTTATAACAGCTCCCTTGTCCCATCCCATTTAAAGAATAGTCTTTTATGTCTGAAGAAAAACATTCAATATGAATCTGTTTCTGCTAAATTGCCAGGCAATGGTTGTTGTAAGTGGCAGCTGGATGAAAAATGTCACTTCGTACCCTGCGCCACCCGCCGTCAACGTCACCAGCTCGAACCAGGAGGTCATGAGCGGTTCGGTGGTGCTGCACAACGACATGGCCGCTAGAGCGGTGCTCATCAGCCGTTTCAACTCGCACCCGTTCCAAGAACGACTGCTCACGCTCGATCAGCCTGTCAAAGTCGGTCGATCCGTGGCTCGCGCAAACCCACTGCCAACAACGCCATCTTTGACTGCAAGGTCCTGTCTAGGAACCATGCGCTGTTGTGGTATGATAATGGAAAGTTCTTCCTTCAGGTGAGTTTAGCTGTTAAATTAATAAGTGACTGAGTTTCAGTTTTGACTGAATGACAACTTTAACTTCAGCTGAGTATCAACTGAATACTGTTTTTTAATGTAAGAGAATTTAATAAAGCAATGCCAATTTGACCGGAAAATATTTTCTGTATATACTGTATATAACATTGAACCATACTCATGTATTCCATAAGAAATTCTTCTTCTCCAGTATGCTAGTGTATTTACTGTATTTGCGTAACTTATTTTTTATATACAAATCGTTACTACTCTCTCTCGTCTTTTTTGTAAGGAAATATACTGGAGCTGCTATTTTAGTAGTTTAAACTGAAACCACATTGGCTTTTTACGTTTTTTATTTGATTTCATACTGATTCTCAAAAAGTGGCGTCAAGTAGGTTGACTGTGCACTTGCCATGCAATGCCATCATCGGTTCATGAAGGATTATATTCAGCACCAGTTATACCTTCTGAGATAAAAGTCAGTGAAAGAGATCCGTACACTTAGCCCATAGACATTATTTCCCTGCTCTGCCGTTCGTCCATCTGGCAACGTCGCATCTCCTCGATGCCTAATTCGGTGACTTATCAGACGCGGCAGTAGTATTAGAACACTTACCAAAACCAGCACGCCGCCGGGAGCAGAAGCAGACGTGGCCGATAGCTACCCAATCCGTCTGCAGAGAGTATTTTTCATATATAATATAGTTTTAAGGGCACATGTACGAGGAAATTTATTATATAAGAACTATGTATGCCCAAAAGATGCGTAGAATTGCTAAGGTTGGGGGCATATAATAACACTAACATCAAAAATTGAGATGTATCCTCCCCACCCCTAAATTTGTTACCCCTAAAATTTTATTAAAAAATGATCAGGATCCTCTGGATCTTAAAAAAACGAAGTTTGAGCGACAATTTTTTCGTTTTTGACCTTTTTCTCCGCCCCCATAAAAAAAATTACAAAGCTTTTCCATACTTGCCATAGTTGTAACCTTGTGTAAAAATTTCAACCAAATCCGAGCAGTACTTTCCAAATTTTATGAGGGCCAAATATTGACTGACAGACCGTCAGACAGACTGACGGAAATAAGTGACGGTTTTTCGTGGTGTACAGGTCATATAACATTCAAAAAACAATATCTGATTTAAGAAATTTTTCGAAGATTATAATACTTAATACCTCGTCGGTATGGCGTGGACAGTAAAAACAACAAGAACGGAAAATGATATAAAATCGAAAAATAACGTGAATAACGAGTATCCTGCGTTTCTACAAGAAAACCTTTACTCATACTTAAGGATGATATGTTTAGTTCTTCGAAAATCTGAATTCGTCTGGCCCCGTCAATCAGCAGTTTTAATTTGTTTTAATTGTAACCTCCTCCCAAAAGCAGCTCATAAACTTAAAGGATTGAACGTTTTTGTGATGGCCATGACATGGCAGATATTCCATTAGGTACTTTTTTCGAAATTTGGGCAGCTTGTGACCTTGCGTAATGTACGTTTAAGATTTCAAGTACATATGTACCTTTTAAATATCTTGCAAATATGTTTTTCTTGTAATAGAAAGGATTGAAGAATACCTAAATGGAAAGACGTAGGAAAGCTTTAGCGATTGAAAAGGGATACATTATCTATAGGGCGCTATTTTATCCTCTAAAGAACGATTTATGAAAAACAAAACATAAAAACTACAAGATTCTATATGGTTGTGTTTTGTTCATATTCCAGGACACCAAAAGCAGCAACGGCACATTTGTTAATAACAAAAGACTGTCTGCTGAGACAGACACTCATCAGTTATTTTCTGGCGATGTAGTGCAATTTGGAGTGGATGTAGTGGAGAACAACCGAAAAGTTACTCATGGTTGTATAATAGCTACTATCAAACTTTATCTTCCAGATGGTAAAGAGGCCAAGGCATTAGGTAAACAAGGTAAGTTTAGAGCAAATATCTGATGTTCTGCTCACTTTTCAGATGCAACCTTTTGAGAACAGTGTCAGTATACTTGACATTTACATGTTGTACTTCTTACTGCGTTGTCGTTATGGATTCCTTCATATAGACAAAATTAAATGTAGAAGTACCGAATGGCAATGCTAATTCTTATTTCTATTTTCCTCTGATAACATCAGTTACACCGTTTTATTTCTACGAACTTATTGCGTATGTATTTTCCTATTTATATATACAATTTTTAAACACTCATTAATTTAGTCCACATACCACACACAAATCAGAAAGGTAAATATTGATCAACGAGTATGCAACTTCATGGGAACATTCATAATACATAGTAAGAATTGTATTTTCAAGAATAATATTTTTCAATTCAACACAATTATCCAATTTTTATTGAAAGATAAATTTTACCGGTTATTGACATAAAACGTTTGTATAACAACGAACGCGATGTGGCGCTTTACCTCAGATGCGTTTTTGTCCACACCACTCGCCCCCCAATTCAGGACAATTCTATGATGATTTGTCTCCTATCTTTAGCTACCAAAAGAGAATTGTCAGCTTGAAATTCAATCGCCCTGTAACTTCAAAATGAAACTGTTTTCCAAAAGTCATCAAAAGAGAAAATAGTTTTAGAATTGACCAAAGAATCAACCCCTGAATTTTTCGCCCTATATTCTGATTACTGATTTGATCAATTGTAATCCCCAGGTCTAGTCCCGCTAAACGAGTTGTACCGCCTGAACCAAATCATCCAAGAAGCCAACCAACGGGAGCAATGTCTGGAAAGCAAACTCAGCGCTTTACAGCACGTAGTAGACGAGACCAGGAAATCTGCAGAGGAAAGTTGGCGAACGTACGTGGGAGAAGAGCGGCTGTTGTCGAGGGTGTCCGCACTGGAAAACCAACTTCAGCAAGCTGGAAAGCAGTGGACAGAGGAGAAGGTTAAGGAGGAACTAGGAAAGCTGCAGGTTAGTTTTAACTAGTTACAGTTTACATTTTTCAGTGGTTGTTCATATCTGGGCCTACATATAACCATACATAAGTGGTGTTATCCCTTGAGACACCCCTAAATGTATCTTTGATGATGGTTGAGGTACATTTTCTAACTGCTAACTGCATCTGAAATATTGTGAAGAATATTGCTATAGAAAATCCAGAGGATAGGATATGTTGTACTGTTTAACAGATTTAAGGCCTCTTGCTATTTAAAAACCGCTAACAGAAAACTTTTACTGTCTTTTCTAGAAACATATTCAGCATAAAAGTACGGCCATTAACCGGGAAACTATGAAGGCTTCCGACTTACCGCATACAACGTTTTTTCATTCTTTTTAGCAATCATCAATACAGTGCAGGTGGTCTTGGAGACAGGCGAACGGAAAGCAAACAAGCGCGTATGGTCTTTTAAAAAACTCAACACGTTGTGCGGAAAAATGGGACACATCTGATGAGCGCCATCTACAAGTGGTTCGCTAAAGCTTTAGAGATCGTCAGTCCATGCGCTGAAAATGGCCGAAAGGCCGCTACGCCTCTGACTTATAACTGATAACAGTCTGTATTATGTATAGCTAGATGAAAAATGATGTAACCTTGGATACCCACAAAGGACACGCAATATAATATATATATATATATATATATATATTGCGGGCCTGATGCAGCCAACAAGCAGAAATACGTATTGCTCGGGTTACCTATCCTATTTTCTGCTCGAATCCACTTTCGTTTTTTGCGGATTTTGCCCATTATTTTCCAATTTTTTGTTATATACCTTTCTCCACATGATCATTTTCTCTCTCTCTCTCTCTATATATATATAGGGTGTAAAGTTTATTACTATACCAATTGGACCACATTTTCAAATTTTTTTATGTGACCTGGAAGTGTGTCGTTAAGTTCGCTGCCGATGACTCCGATTGGAGCCAATCGGTGACCTTCGCCATGTGCCGACGGCTCCGATCGGAGTCATCGGGAGTGATACGAATAATCCTGGTTTTGATGCCGATCGGGGACAATTTTTTTCTCTACCAATATACACCTTTTTTAAATTCGATACCAATATATAGTTTATTGTCCTATTAGATCATGTTACATGATATAAGACTTGTCAATATCAATTTGAGGGTCATATAATATGCGTTTGAGCAAATATGCCAGAAAAATACTTATAATTATAAAATAAATAAGGACATTACAATTACAAAACATTTTAAAAGGTTAAATCACATTATAGGTACAGCGCAAGAATCGTAATGTGTTCAATCTGTAACGGTAAAAATATATACATATACAGCGACTTTTTTTTATCACAAAAAATGTTCGTCTAGCCGGTAAAAATCATTGAAGCTGATACAAAGAAAAGCGATAGGAGAATCTGTTAGAAATACATAATATATAAACACAATAAACATCGAGCAGTGAGGACAAATGGTTAAAAGCTTAAAAAGAAAACATACATACTTTCGTTAAAACTCGAATAAAAAGTGAAATTAAAATACATTTACTCCACGATAATAGAGAATTCACTGATAACGAAATGATTAACAGCTTAAAAGAATTTAAAAAACAGATACTTTCATGTGTTAGTAAAACTCATGTAGAGAGTAAGAGCATTTTTCAACCAGATATTTCCTGAGATTAGTGCTTCTCCGCAACTCACTCGGCAGATTATTGTATACCTTAGTGAACACTAGAGTGGGAGATTTTTGGAATAGGGCAGAGTTATGTGTCGGTATACTCAGATCATGCCCTGTTCTAGTGTTGTATTGACTATTAATGGCGTTGTTACGAACAAATCTATTGCTATGTTCAAATGCGAAGATGGCACATTTGTAGATATAGATGGAAGTTAATGTAAGCAGATTATAGCGTCTAAATATTTCTTTACAAGAGTCCCTCTTATTAATATTAAAGATTAATCAAAGTACTCTTTTCTGCAGGATGAATAATCTGTTAATCATTGTTGCCTGTCCCCATATGATTATATTATTAGTGAGATGAGAATAAACTAGCGCGTAATACATATCTAAGACTGAGTTTAGATGGATGTTAGGCTTTAATTTCAATATTGCAAAATAAGCTCTGTTAATTTTGTTGCAAATGTGATTTATTTGTGGTTGCCAGCTTAACTTACTATCAACATGAGTTCCTAAGAAGACAGTTTGATCTGAAAAGCTATCAATATCCATGCATGGTTTCTTGTTGAAGAAATGAATTTCAACAGTCTTATCTTCATTCAAAATGGGGCGGTTAGACTGGCACCACTCGCTCATTTCACTTTTGACTTTCTCAATAGATTCGAGAAGATCCTGCGGTGTCGTGGCACTGACGACGATAGATGTGTCATCCGCATAATTAATCATGAAGCCAGACAATTTCAAGTCATTTATGTATACAATGAAGAGCAGTGGTGCAAGTACTGAGCCTTGTGCCGCACCTATATTCACGGAATATTGAGTTGACGTATGACCATTGACCTTCGTTTTCAATTTTCTATCTGTGAGGAAAGACTGGATCCAGCTGAGAATAAAATCCCTTATACCTAAGCAGTACAATTTTTCCACGATAAACGAAATATCCATTATATCGAATGCTTTCGAAAGGTCAAAAAATAGTCCAGCAACGTATCTGTTTTCATCTACGAGTACTTCTCTATATATATGGGAAAAAAAGTCAAAGGTCGCCGTTTCTGTAGATCGTGAGGGTCTAAACCCATGCTGGGTATCTGATAAGACATTATAGCGATTGAGAAAACATAATATACGTTTATACAGACATTTTTCAATGACTTTAGAGATCATCGATAAAAGTGATATTGGTCTATAGTTTTCAAGGTCTGTACGGTCACCCTTTTTGTATACGGGAATAACAATAGCTAGTTTCAAGCATTTCGGGAATTTACCTTGCTTCACTGATTTATTAATAAGGACTGATAGGGGGGAAGATATTTCACGTTTCACAAACTTTATCACACGCGTTGAAATTCCATCATTTCCACTGCTTCTTTTATTTGGAAGGCTGCTGATTACTTCCACGATCTCTTCAGTGGTGACATCCTCGTAGAACATTGATGATGCTACCCGATTTTGTGATGGACATCTTGATGGGTTGTCACATTTAAAGTGTTCTGCTAACTTGCTCTCTGCTGTTGTGGAAAAATACTTGCCAAACTTGTCGGGTACGAGGGTGTCGGTAAATTATTTGTCTTCATTTTTCAGCACTATTTGATGATGTTTCTTTACTCTTCCGGTTTCTTCATTGACTATTTCCCATATTTTTTTAGCTTTGTTGTTGCTGGATGTTATTAGACTACTGTAATACTCTTTTTTTGTTGAAGAAATTAATTTCTTGTGTTCTTTCTTATTGTCAATGTACTGCTGTCTCATACTTACATTGTCTTCATGCCTTTTCACCAAATTGTGTAGTTTTCTTAGATCTAGGCTGGAATGTTGGATTTTTCCCGTCACCCACGGTTTGGATTTCTGCTTTTTGTGTCGTGTTTTATGCCTCTGGGGACATTTCAAATCAAAATGCCACAAAAAATTGTTGAGAAACCGTTCAAATTCTGCATCAATATCGTCCTCGCCAATATTCCAGTTTTCCTGAGCTAAGCTAACTTTGAGGTGATTTAAATTGTCGTCATTTATAGGCCTTGTCATGAGCAAGTGGTTGTCTTGATGTTCGAGCTTGTCGTGGGATGCATGAGAGAGCGAAAGAAGTTGTGCAGTGTGGTCTGAAATGTGGGGTTCAAAGATTGTACATGTCAATTGCCTGGGTCTGAAGTTCCTTATGATATAATCTATTGATGTACGTGTCATTATGTTATTTTTGTTCACTGCAGTGCGAGTAGCACTATTACAGTGATTTATCATGTTGTAGGATGATATCAGATCTTGAAGTAGATATGAATTTATGCTGGGTTTCAGGCTATCTATGTTAAGATCCCCACAAATAATGTTTTTGCTACTTTCCAAAAATAACCTGTCCAATATATTCCCTAAGTTCTCCAGAAATATCGCTACGTTACCAGATGGTGGGCGATGCACACATATTATGCCGAGCTTCTCATTAGATCTTCCGGAATTCATTGTAAGTCCACAAGCCTCGATTTCTCCCTCTTCCGACGCCTTGCTCACGAACGGTATGCATTTGGCTGTTAAACTGTTTTTGACATAAATTGCACATCCTCCATGTATGCGTCTCACTCGACAGAAGCACGAGATAAGGGTATAGCCGTCTATATTCGCGGATTCTATAGCGCCCAATGGTAACCACGTTTCGGTAAGACATAGTACATCTGGCGACGAATCGTTAACAAGTAGCTCCATTTCACTGAATTTATTTAAGAGACTGCAAACATTAAGATGAATTATTTTGAAGTTATTCTCTTCGAGGCATTTCTTTGAAAATTTTGTTGTTTTGATGACTTCTGTTTACTGTGAGAGGCGACAAATTTAGTGGAGTTAGATATATAGTCTACATTGGGCAAGGTGGTCATTGGACTGCTAGTGTTCTGTGTATTAGCTTCCGGTGAAATAAGCGTTCTCTGTGTGTGGTGTCTTGTTGATGGCCCTTGCTTGACTGTGGCAGAGGTATCTTTCGGTGTGACTTGTGGGGCTGACGATGACGTGCATTTAGGGCGTTTTTCATGTACGTTTAGAGGTTGTAGTGGTGGCATTATGTCGTTGCTATCTGAGTTGAATAATGATGATGGTCTTGTTCCAAAGTTGTTGTGTAATATTAGTTCTGAGATTTCGTGGCAGAGCCTATGTTTACCCTCGTTGTTCAAATGGTTGGAGTCGTTCTTGAAATGATAGCTTCGAAGACAGTCAAATAAGCTCAGTAAATGTGCATTTGACCCGTGGCATGTGGATTTAATCTGCCTGTTTATGTTGGCAATAATATTATTTAGTATGGGGCGGTTTGATCTCCTCTGTGGTATAGTGGTTAGTACGATGTTTGGGTTCTTTATAGCTTCTAGTTTGTCCTTTAGCTCGTTCGCTTTAATAAATCCTTTGATCATGCGAGAATAATGACATAATCCATTTCATTGAAGTCGGCTGTAAGTACATCTACATTCTTGATTACATCACTTATAAGAGCATTTGGACTGAGGATCATTTCGACGGCAAAGTTTTGCAAGGGCAATATTTTCCTTAGGATGTTTACAATATTTCGTCGAAAATCATCACTGAGTAGCAATATCTTAGACTTGTTATGGTTTTGGATTCCTCTGTGAGCTTCGCTATCAGAGCTGGATTTGACATCTTTCATGTGGGTCCTTCCTGTACGTAGGCTGTTATGACTCGGTGTCGGGGTTGCATTTGTTTGGGAGACACGTTGTGTCTGTGTAGATTTCTCGACTAGAGTTTTTCTGCTTGCAACTTTTTCGATTACCCCTTTCAAGTATTTCATCGTTTCTTCCCTGGCTGCTAGCTCTCTGTTCAGCTCATCATTTTTCCTGTTTAGTTCAGTCAGCATATTGTTTTGCTCCTCGATTTTCGTTTCTCATTGTGCTAGTCTATTTCTTAAATCCAACACACTATACTATCTTGAGTTGCTATGTTTTCGTCTAAAGTATCATCAGCCTGTATATGTATATAACTATTATTTTGTAAACGATTGACCCGTTCTGTTGATGGTTTTTGCTTTTTATTTTGTTGCCGTGTATTCATGATTGCTGCTATCTTGAAACGTGAGAAATATTCAGAGACGTGGCAACGTCGCTTCAGGATTGACACAACTCCGCGTAAGACATGTTATTGTTATCATTGGAATTCTGCATTAAAACTCCGTTTTCTCACCTAAATTCTAGCTCATCCAGATGATATTCTCCCTGATAGCTGTGTGGTATGCTTAAAAATATTTATTTCATGAACTGTACACGTAAATATATGAGTCCCCTATTTCCAAAAGCGGCTATATCCAAAATTGAAGGTATTAAGAAAAAGGCGAAAAACTGTAATTCTTACTATTTGTAAGTTTGTGAGTCAGTAATACCGTAATATTAATGTATGTAGCACAATAAAGGATTTTTGAAAAATAAAACATATTTTTTGTTTTATATGTCACTATGGGAGGGGGGCTAGGGATGGATCTACCCGAGTTTGAATGTGAACTCAGGATTTACCCGGTATTGAAACGAAGTTTGTGTGAATTCTTTCCTGATGTATTAACATTAGATAACAAAAAGGAATAAAAAATAAAAACATACATTTTTTCTTGTAAACTGTTTTGGGTACATCAACTTAAAACTCAACTTGAGAAGTAGAAAGTCCTTTTTGTTAAAAGCGAAAATAAAAATCATACAACATCAGCTTCAAAGCTACACTCGGTATTAGCAAAGCACACACTATTATCATCATCATTTTTTTCTGCTTCTGTTAAACTTTGTTGATTATCCATAACAGTCTTATAGTATTCCAATTCGAATTCTTCATTTTTTTGCTTCCACGCCGTTCCAAAATGTGTTGTCAAAAGTTCATCAACATTCTTTTGTTATTTATACAAACGTTTTCTGAGGAGATGAGCGATATCCTCTTCCCCCTTTTGCAGATGCCTTTAGCGTTATTCACATCAGACTGGTAATTTGGTGCACCCCTTACCAGGACTTGCAGATTTTTTGAACGAGTCAGTATCAACCGCTTACATGATTTGATTTGTAAATGGAGTGAGGCTGGTGACTTGATGACATTTGCGGCCTCGTTTTTCCAATTTTGAATATGCCAGTCCTGTCCCAATTTTTTTAAAGTACCATGGTTTTCGAAAATATTATAATACGTTTCAGGCTTGACTATTATGTCAAGTTTTTTTATCTTTTTTTCTATCAAGACGAAAACTCGATCTGGAGGTAAAAAAGAATGGCCAGTGACCGGAAATATCAATTGCAGTTTTTCGATATGGCTCGGAGCTTCTAACATCCATTTAGCGCGCATAGACAGAACAATACTATTTTTGTTCTGCCCAGTGCAGCCATCTGATACCAGTCTAATCTCTTTCACATTCTCAGGAATCATGATTTTGTTTAAAGTGTCATAAACCGCTTAGGCGATTTCGTTCGATCCCTTATGACATTCTGTTTCAAGCCATGTATGGATATAAACATTTTCTTTTAAAAGTTTTACTTTTGATGATCCTATGACGTATGACAACAGTAAAGCTGTAAAGATACAGTTGCCTTTTGTAATACGTTATTTGATCAGGAATTCTCGGTAATACTAAGTTTTTTTGGCAGTCAAATGATCATCACTTTGATCTCTGAGTTTATCATAAAATGCTTTTGCCCTTAGTTTATGTAAGCGTTGTTTCACTATTAAATCGTTTTTTACCTGCAAATCTTTCTCTCTCTTGATCATTTCTCTGTATTCAAGGCATTGCGAGCAGACATCTACTTGTAGCGCATTGAATCCTATATAATACACATGTCAACAGGATCTAGCCGGTTTTGTTCATAAACAAGAGCATAATAGTTGGTGTAGCAGTGGTTGTAGCCAGTTTTGGTAAAACCAAGGATATAGCCACTTTTGTAATAAAACACGAATCAGCTTTAGCCGGATTTGAAAATAAGAGTGAAATAGTGTGCTGATTTATATGGATTTTGCCGCATTTTGGAAACGAGTATGTATTACAGTATATTACCAGAACCTTTGACTATGAGATGGCAGCACCCACATCATTTTTGGTAAATATGGATTTAGCCGCTTTTGGAAATAGGGGACTCATATGCAACAACACGTAGCGTTGTTGCCGGAGCAAATTCGAAATTAGTAGTCTGATTGGCGAAAAAAAGTATTTGGCTAATGGGAACAGCTGAATAGGCAGCGAACGTGTTAAGCCCATTATATTGGCTGATTTGGTTGTTACCTTATACCGGGCGAATGCTACATGCACTCTGCCTCATGTCGTGACGCGTTAAACTCCTATTTTCGGAAAACAAATGTTCATTTTTATATACATTTATATATACAAACAAACTGAGCAAACCGAAATGAGATAGTGTGTGCAACGAATGCAACTACAATTATGAAATAAGGGATGCGCTCATCTGAAAATCGAATACGGGATATGTAATAACAACTTCAAACAAATAAAAACATGTTTTTTTAACTTTTGTCAGTCATTGGTTATAAAAGTTAAAGTTAAAAATACAGATAAAAGCGACAATTAATTCCTAAATTCTTATGTAAGAATTGATTTTTTACAAACATATTTGCTTTTTTTTTCATCATTTTTTCAAGCAATTTAATAATTGAGCTGAACTAGAGGAATATTAAACTCCAAAATAAAAGCTCACAGTCCTTCCTATTTCAAGTATCTTTTGATGTGGTGTGTAAAGAAGAAAAAATGAATATTTACATTCGCGAATATCGCTAATAGATATTAACATTCGTTACATTACTATTGTACACCAAATACTCCAAGCGATTGAACTCCTGAAATTGAGAATTCTTATAGTTTACTTTATTTTTTGTGTCCGTATTCAATAATCAATGGCTAGTCGATCCTTGTGAACACTTCTAGGCAGGCTGTGGTATCACGTAAATAAAATTGTGGAATATGTATTTGCAGCATACTTGCTTTAAATTTAGTTTCATGTAATTGAATCCAGTTCAAAACTTTACAAAATGTTTGTAAGAACTTAAAAGATACACACGCATTCTGAAAACAGTACTAAAGTCTACACATATTAGTAGGATTAGATTAGCGCTCGGAATTTGTTTGGTTTGTTGTAGACATTTAAAGAAACGACTATAAGTATATAGAACCATAGTCACTTTTCTAGACTTTTGAGCCCCACTATATAATATTTTATTAAAGCTCTTTGAATTATTATTTTAGGCGGATAATGAATCATACCAAATAGCAGCAAAAGAAGCGTTGGAGAAACTACATGCAGAAAAATTGGAAGCTTTGGCGCTGGCAACTGAGCAGGAAAGGGCGAAAGCTACTGCTGAACAAGAAGCACGTATAGCCAAAGAAGAAGTCGAACAAATCAATTCAGAATTAGAGGTATTATACTGACAAATCTCAATTTATGTCCATTTAATTGCTATCAGTGTTGCCAAACGATATAAGTTCATGGTTTTGGCAGTAATCAATCCCGAAGTGGTAATAAAACCACGAGACTTTGGCTGCACAGAATCATAATGTTTCTAGGATAGTTTGCTATAGAACCAAAACAATAGTAGAAAGCCACCTGGGCCGGCAGATTTTTACTTGGCTGCTTCTTAAAATTTGATAAGATAGTATTGATTTGATAGTAAAAACTTTCATTGTTGCACAATTTCAGTCACTCGCTAGGAAGTTGTTTATATGTCAAGTGGAATCGGAAGAGCAACGAATAAAATGGGAGAAACGAGAAGAGGAGTTAGAAAGTAAGCTAGAAGCTGAAACTATGAAACTCGCCGATTTGCAGTTGCAATTACATGAGTTGAACGCGCTCTCTCTACCGGAATTCCAGAATCTCGCACTTATGGAACATCCTGGAGGTGTAAGTATGCATCTTGCAAAGGTGGGGTTTTGAAGGAATGACTGTGGGATCTGAGCAATACCGAATAACGTTTAAACAAGAAGCGAATGGCCGTATTGACCATACAATCACATTTTTTGTTGTAGCTTTATTTAGCAACAATACAACAATATTGTTGCACAGTATATCACATAATATTTTATGTCTTCAAGTCTAAATATCTTTTTACCAAATTTCACTACTAAGAATTCGGCTTTTCCTTGAAATATTTGCTCAAAGGAAAATTAGTAATATTTCCCAAAACGATTCTCAGATACAAGATCCCTTTGCTGTGATCATGGCATATGATGAATCTTAGAATACTCAGTACTATTGAAATTTCTTTTTATGTAGAAACATATCTATAAGGAAGACTCGAAATGTAAAGAAGACATATTGGCCGAAAACGACCTTTCAGAAGAAGCCTTGAACAAGTCAAATGGAATTGACAACCACATCAGTCTAACAGTGAGTATTATTATTTATACTGCCTGAAACCTCCAGTATTGTTTGTTTTACTAGGTATAAAAATACATTCTGTCGGAAGTAAAGTTGGACTTTTGTGGCTTTTTTGTAGAGATACAAAAAAATTTGCTGAATAACTTTTTTCATTAAACGTCAAATTGGGAAATACACTTTTTCGCGTATGTTCAAATAGTTATGAATTATTGATGTAAGAAGTCAAAAAAAAATTGTTGAGTATGAAAATAATTTCAAAATAAGGCCAATGTGCAGTAACGGTTAATTTGTTACTAGAAAAAACCGGCAAAACCGTCAATTTCTACATTTATTTTTTAATGGAAGATGCATACTGGTAAATCTGTAATAATAGTCGAAAGTTCAACCGTTTCCGCAAATTTCTAATTGCTACTAATTTTTTGAGAAAAATTGCTTTTTTTTTTGAAGAGTTGTCCAACGACTTTGGATCAATCAAATGACTTCATTAGGATTATTCTCTTATTGGAGATTTGGTTTAATATCTTATTAAAGGCGATACTAGATTTGCTTATGCTAACTAAGTAAAAAAGCGATGCCAAGAGTACGTCTATTTTTGCCCATTAGAATAAGTCGTCTTTAACAGTCATAACTAGGATGCCCACCACTGAAATCTGGTGAAAAATGCACACTTTGACTGAATAAGGAACTTTTTTGGGATCTTGGAAGCCGAAATACCATTTTCTCAAACAAGCTACCGCAACGTTAGTCATCAACATTAAGGGTATAAAAAATATTTGAGGTTTATTAAATTGTCTTTTCATAACTAAAGGTGAAGCATTCCATAGCCAATTCAAATGATGTTTGTTTTTCGGAGTCGTAGGTTTATGTTTGATTTGCATATGAAAAATGTTTTCTGATTTGTATTCAAGATTGATATTGTAATGTATTTCATAAAATCTGAAAACATCACCCACAATTACAGTACTATCAGAGTAATTCTAATTTATTTACAAAATTAAGGGACTGGTATTCAGTGTGACGTATATAGGGGTATAAGCAGACCGGGGGTAAGAGGCACGATAGCCCGGTTTGTCAAGGTGTCCCAATTCTCTTGACAGTTAGTCAGTCAAGCATACACGTTCGAAACACCGTTGCTGTAGGAACCTTTTTTTCGTCAAATTGTATATTTTTCGTCAGCTTTTCAGTAGTGAGCATCTCAATTACGACTGTCAAAAAACTACAGACCTATTCGAATTATTTATAAGTTAAAGATAGATGTACCATTGGCGATGCTTTTTTACATGGTTGGTATAAGAAAATCTGGTATCTCTTTTAATACGATATTAAACTAAGCCTCTAGCAAAAGAATGAGTCCATTAGATTAATCCAAAGTCGCTGGTTAGCTTGTCAAAAAGGCCATTTTTCTGACCAAAATTAGTAACAATTAGAGAACTGCAGAAGCGATGAGCATGCTTTTTAATGAAATTTTACCACAAAGACTTCAGTTTTGGACTTTTATTTCAGATTTACTGCTATGAATCTTCCAGTAAAAAGTTCGAACCTTGTCATATCCCTTAAGAATATATGTATGTTCCGCTGTGAAACTGCTTATTACATTTTTTCGTGAAATTGGGATGATTATTGATTAGTCAGCTTGGTCTGTGGTATAAAATAAATCGAACTTTCTAGGTGATGCCGGTTGAAGAAAATCCTGAATTTGCTAATCATGATGATACAAAATCCAGTATAACGACAATAGGCATTTCTGAAACTACAAAAAGAGTGTCGATAAAGCTTCCAGAGGCTGAGCTTATTAGAGAAGAGGTCAGTAGTGTTGAAGACTCACGTCGAATTTATTATTAAGTATTGACAAACAAGCTTTTAAATTACTATTGTATTAGCTTGCTTATATGAGACATTTAATAGCACTCCCGGAAATGGAGTAAGAAAAACTGTGCAGAAACTATTCATGTAGTTATTTTTTAATTGCCATTTTGTATTGCCCGATTTCTAATGAGTTTGCCACATACCGGGTGTTTCAAATTCGACCTTCACCATTGGGAACTCGAAAACGGTGAGAGATACGAAGGGTTTAAATGGGGGCAAAAATGCTGCTTAGAAAGTTTTGAAATTCAAAGTACTTCCGGAAAGAGACAGAAAAGATTTTCCCAAAATAGTTTTAATTTTTTCTTCACTTTATTTGTAGTGGAATTTTAAAATGAATGGCACGAAAACATTTTCCCTTTTTCTCACAAGATGCTATAAGTAGAATTAATAATAATAATAATCTTTATTCCAATGGGATATACCTAATCACAGGAACAATAAAATTAAAAGAAGTGATATCACAAAGACATCAGACATACATTTGGTATAAAAGTACATATAAGTAAAAGTAAATAAGTATAAATAAAGTAAATGCAAACAAATTGAGACAAAATATAATAAAAATCACATTGCAATGCACATCTCAACGTCCCACCACAGCATAATTATGTCTAAGATTGGCCTGAACTATATCAAGAGCATCACAATTAATATCACAGCCCATGCAAAATTTATTAAAAGAAGTGCACATTCTATTTATAGGTGCCATATCTGAGATATTTGTCTTGCCACTTGGGTTGTAAAAAGTTACAGTGTAGCATGGAACTCTTTCAGGTACTGCAAAATTAACTTTAAACAGTGAGCCTGGGCAGTCCAACTTAATAGTTATAAAGATTGTACAGGACTGTAACCTCATTGATATGACGACGGTACGCTCAAGTATCATAATTGAATAATTCAAGTAGTGAGTGTGGAAACCCCCTTTCAGGGTAATATCCATAAACTTTAAAGTGCATATATTTTAAGCTCTTGCGTTGAACTGATTCTATCGCTGACGTTGCATTTTGATACAATGGTGACCAAATCATTGAGGCATCCTCTAGTTTAGCTCTTATAAAAGAGGTATATACTGTTTTGAGACTTCTTACATCTGTAAAGCTTGACCAATTTCTAATACAATATCCCAATACCTCATTTGACTTTGCAACCATTTTTCTTGTGTTCCGCAAATGTGAGCCTACTATCAAAAATTACCCCTAAGTCATTGAAGGATTGACATATTTCTATTTTAATGTTGTTGATATAATAAGAAAAATGAATGGGGTTGACCTTATGAGAAAAGCTTAAGATTTGTTTATGTCGAGGTTGTTGTTCTCACACCAGTTGCATAAGCTATTGAGATCTTGTTGCAGTGCAATACAATCATTGATATTTTTTATTTCACAATCATCTGCAAATAGATGCTTTTTACTTAGTTGCAAGGAGAGGTCATTAATATATAAAAGGAACAATAGCGGTCCTAGATTAGATCCCTGAGCCACACCTGATGTGGGAGTATATGCTACAACTTGAATTCTATTTGATAGGTACGAGTGCATCAATGAAACTAAATCATTGGACAAACCTGCAACTTTGATAAAAGGATGAAATGATCAATTGAGTCAAAAGCTTTTCTAAAATCTGTATATATGACGTCTACCTGTCCTTGGAATCCAATACCTCAGAAACAAATTGTGTAACAGAATCCAAATTAGTGACTCTAGCATTCCATTGTATAAAGAGATGAAGTTCTCTACGGAAAGTTTAGCGAACAGTTCCAGAGTTGTACGCGTTATTCACGATATCAAAGTCAGCAACAACTGCCGGGTGATGCCTATCTTCGTTAACCAGATAATGATTGTCATCCAGCTTCAACTTTATTTTTTCTAACGGACGCCATATTGGATTTAGAGTTTTTAATTCTGAATTCAAAAATATATAATTTGTCATATTTTGATATTGTCAAACCTTAGTTATTTAAAAAAAAATGATTTTTCTAAGTATTCCTTGAAATTATCAGATAGTCATTTGTTTGGTGTACCGGATTTATTGAAAAATCGTTGTTTATTTCCTGATTTTATTTGAAATGGGATTTAAAATAAATTGCATATTAGTACAGCTGAGTGTCCGCCTGCCATAAGTGTGAATATTGCAGTGTTGAAGGCAAGCATATATTAATCAAACGTATAAACTATGTAGAGTAAGGGACCCAACACGGAGCCACGTTCTGGGTATGATTATTCAAATATGATACGAAGAAATGTAGTTGCTTATCAGAAAAGCCGTAAAATGTCAGCTTAATCAAGAGGATAAAATGATATACCATGTCAAATGCCTTAGAGAAGTCTAGCAGAATCAGAGTAATTGATCAATACCTCACATATAGCTTGTTTTATTCCATTTCAACGTCGAACTATCCTTATTGGAAAACATATGAGAAAATTAGTTATATTTATGTTTTATGCGCTTTACTTAAAGTTGTATTTTGCTGTGAGATAGCGCAATCAGCCTTTTTTAACATCCGACCACATAAGAGAAGTGTAATATCTGTAACGTGTATATCTGAGTAACGGGTTAATCGATTTTTATTTTATTTCTTTGAAAGATCATTTAATCCTAAAAGTTCTTAGCTATGGTGTAAGAAAATTTGTTCGGCCGTCTGAAGTCGGGAGTTTCAAAAATATCTAATTTCTACCTGTTGCCTTAGATGATATCATTGCTTACAATTTTCCAGCAGAAAAACGACCAAGAAGATTCCGAAATGAGCGAAAAAGAGAAATATACCGAGAAATCGGACACGAGTCGATCGAACGATAACGAAGAAGAGGAGGAGGATGACCAAGTGGACTCGAAGACGCTCAAATGCCAGTTCCAGTCGATGCAGGCGGAACTGAAAAGACGCATCGAGGCGCTCGAGTCCATTCTAACTACGAAGGAGTCGTACATGACCGAGTTAAGCCGATGTCTGGCTGAGGAGAAGGAGCTGTCACTGCAGAGACGGGTGGAGGCTGAGCAGTTGAAGCAGGAGTTGGAGCAGCAGACGAAGGAAATCTGTAATGAGAGCCAGCAGTACAAAGATAAAATTGGTTAGTATGATGGATCCACAGGCTTAATATCTCAACAACCTTGGTTGGTTGCGAATCGACAATCATCTGTACTCTATCCAAATCTACAGTAGGGTGGTTGTTTACACTGTCATGCACTACGCCCCCGATACTTCAAATCTGAACACCCGATTTCACCCTGTACTGGTCGTGTTGCTGGCGGACCAAGCGATCGATATCGAATAGACCAAAGGTTATACAATTAGGAAGTTTCCTGTAGACGAAAATACTGCTAGTTTCACTTGCATATAATAGTAGAACTCGTATCTTCCATAAGAAAGATTATTCCGCTAACATGTAATTTAAGGAAATCATTACATTTTTTGTCTTGGGTGTGTTGCCGACTGCCCTCGCGCGTCGAGGTTATTTCGTGGCGTTACACGACATCAGCGCTCAAACTGACAAGTCGCAACATATTGCTAAGAAGCATAGACTGGGATATTATAAATATTCAATAAATAAAATTTTTATGTACCGATTTCACTAATCCTCCAAAGTTTGGCATAATTGTTAATTGTTAAACATACTATGCCAAAATGTTTGGCAAAACTCCTAAAATATCTTCAAAATTAGTAAGATTCACTAAATTTTACAAAAAAAAATCATATTTTATGTTTTACAGGTAGCTAATAATATCCATGTGTCAAAGATCAAAATAGCGGATTTAATATGGTGTAAATATTTACAAAAAATGTTTTTCAAATTTTTAGATGTTTTCAGGGTCACTAATAACAATTTTGATATCGATTGGTCAAAAATCGAAATGCGGTTCTAATATGGTGGCTATGTGAAAAATGCTTTGATTGCGTTCAAATTTAAATTTCAACTACTTTTAGGATCGCTAGTGACGAATTTAATATATCGATTCTTAAAAAATCTAAATGGTAAATTCAGTATGATGGCTATGTTTGCAACAAATTTGTCGATTCCGCTCAAATTACAGTTTTATATGTTTTCGGGATATAATTTATGTATAATGCCGCATAGTTGCCTAAATTATAGTCAGCTCCAACCAAAATTGACATATTTCTTAACTGGATGTCTAACAGACATGGTACTGTTCAAAATAGAGCGGACTGTACCCCATTCGTAGTCCATTTATGCCCAGACAAAACACAACATGCCCAAAAGCGAGGTTGTGCAGGTCAGTATTTTCTTGGAATTATCTAAAATAAATAAATTTGAACATTGATCATATTGTCCAGATCCCACATCTTTGTTTCGATTGTCTCTTGAACGTGACGGATGCAGTCTTTCCAGTGGTTTGCCGTCACTCTGTTGACAGCTTCATAAAACAAATATTTCACGTGAGAAAATTTGAATGTTGTATTGTTTGAAGCCACATAGTTTGTTATATTTGTCCAAATCATTTCAATAGGATTTAGTTCGATAAGGGGGTAGCCTTAAAACAGTCTTATTTTGGTTTTTAGCAGTTTCGTCAATAACATTAAGATTATATTTATAATTGTGCTGCCTGGCTAGATGGATAAGTTCTGCTTTGACCATATTTTTATTGAAACTAATGTCTTTTGTTAGAAGCCATTGATGAATTTCTGCCTTTCTTGTGGACATTGTGGGAATTTTTTCTAGGTTCTAGTGTTGTATGCAGCATTATCAAGTACAGTGACGGCATTGTCATCAAGCTTTGGGAGCGTTTCTTCAAACCACCGTTCAAATGAACTCTCGTCTGTTTCTTCATGTTAGTCGGTTGTTTTCTTTGACTCATATGCCCATAGGGCAGTGGGCACAAAGCCATCTTCACTGCCAATGTGACAGATAACAAATCGTTTTCCTTCTCCTGGAAATAATTATTTCACATAGTAATCAAGAAAACTAATAATAATACAAGCAGATCATCTACCAGATAGCGCTAAGTTTAGTGTAGCTAAGTTTCCAGCATGGGCTCATAGACTCAGTCTACTTGACACCATTTTTACAACATAAATGACGAATTGGTTAGATACACGTACCTGACGGATTCTTTAAGCCAGTGGTTAGTCTATCTAAGAACGTTTGTCTTGCTGATTTAATTGTAGAGTAAGCTCATACTTTAGGTGTTGTATGTCCTGCATTTATCCAGGTTTCATCCAAGTAATAAATCTTCCTGCCCTGGTCGCGGTATTTCTTTATTGATTTTAAATAATTTCTTCTTCGTAAAATATTCTCTTGACTATCCATCAAAATACTATTTCTGTCCCGTTTTCTATACTCAAAATGAAGTTCTTTGAGTATAGAATATTTTCCTTTTGAAAGTAGATAAGTCTTCATCGCTATTGACCTCCTGTAATACTTTGTCTATGGTGGGAAGTTCCTGCCTATCAAAAAATTGATGCGTCTGATGGCATTGCGATCAAAGTTGTCAACTGAATCCAACAGCTTCGTGTAATGCAGCCTCTTGTGTGGTGGATACAATTTTTTGTTGTTTTTTTTATATTCTTTAACAATGTTGAAAATGTTCTTAGGACATAAGCCTGTTCTGTTCGCCACACGTCTTTCAATATCATGAATTTTCATTTCAGGATGCTCCAAAATTTCGCTCTTATAAACGTTAAAGACAATTTCTTTTGCCTGAATATTCAAATGTCTCTTCTTGTCACGTTTTCGGGGAGGAGACATCATTGAAGAGGAAGCATGCCTGAAGGAAGCATTGGGAGAAATATTCTCAGTTTCATCTGCTATATCCGTAGACGACATGCTAACGTATAGACACACGCTATGTATGCACCGAATATGAACAGCAACTGCCGGCGTCGGCGTGCCGGCGATACCCCGAGCCTGAGTTATATCCTGTCGAGTCCTGCGCTTTTCCGTAGTTTTATGGCCCAATGACCAATAGCTATTGCAACGCTTAGACGGCTATCGCTTTGCCGCGCTACATCTTTGTTGTGCCGGGACGTAAATGGACTAGGAATGGCATTTTTATACTCTTTTTGAATTCATTAATTACAGAAAAAAATATCCATTACATATTGTTGCCGTGTAGTGTCATATGCCGATTGGCAAGTAATACAATGCCACACAAATACACACTTTTCGTATGCTTTTGGTCAGGTTTTTTTTGTTTCTAATCCACGCCTATGCATTCCCACGTGGGCACAGATAAAGTTCAATGAGTATTTCCCCTCCAGCCACAAAACATGATCACTATAACAAATATTCATATTACATACCTCAAAATAATTTTTCTGTTTTGGTACAGGTAAACAGCTGACTCACTTGTACCTAGGTACAATACAGTATTCGTAAGTCGAAGGTATGCCCCATTTTTATCGTAAATACGGAGCAGAGCAACGGTTGTAAATGGCGCAGAGCCGCACGGGCAGGCGCGATGGTACCTGGTGTGATGTGGCGTCATCACGAAGTCTCACGCTCCAACAAAATACTTCTTCAAATAAGAAATTTCTGGGTCATAACTTCGTCATTTTTTAAGATATTTAAAAAAGGTTTCAGTACCGTTTCACTTTACTCAGACTATCATTTTAAGTGTGTTTCAAAAATAGAAACTACCTCATTAGTTAAGTCCAAAAATGTAGGTTTATAGATTTTATTCAGTTTCTCTTAATTACAATGATCTCCTCTTATCACGTTTACGCATATACTCAATTTTTTGCGTCTTGAGATAGATAGTTCCAGCAGAAATATATGTTATAGAAATAATGTATAACCTTTGAACTTAATCGTCTAGAGTAGCAACATATACTGAGTGACAGAAAAAGGTAAACACTTACGTATGTTTATCCGATTTTAATAATGTTTGACATATATGTATGTTCAGTGTCCCTTACTAGTAAAATGATTAAATTTTTAGCTTGATCCGTCAACTGACTGCAAAACTGGTTCAATAGTGTGTTGAGGATCCACGATGTTTTTTACACTCATTGACCCGCCTAGGCATCGTGCTGATACAGTGGTCGATATCTTGTTCGGGTATCTCATTCCAGGCTACTGCAACTTCGTGAGTAAGAGCTGCTAAAGTCTGTGAAGGGTGTTGAAAATTCCTTTCATGTCCCAGGCATGTTCAATTGGAGATAGGTCAGACGATCGTGGTGGCCAAGGTAGACAGTTAATGCGATGTTGATCCATGCTCTGGCAACATGCGGCCTGGTATTGTCTTGCTGAATCGGGGATCGGGTTTTGGATGGTGTGTAGGTATATAACCCAATTTTTGTTACAGATCTGTTAACTAAAGAACTGGAGTCCGCCCAGACAAAACTGAAAGAAGTGGATGAAAACGTAAAAGAGAAAGAACTAGACACCAGCAAATCTTCAACAGTAACCTACGAAGAGTTGATTAGCGTGGAAGAGGAATTGGTGTTGATAAAGGAACGTTTCGCCCAGATCACCGAGGAAAAATTGAAGCTACAACGCGACCTGGTATCCATGACCGAGCAGTACCGCATGGTGTGCAACAGCAGCCACAACAAGTACTTTTTTTACGTAGCTCCGCTGGTATTTATGGTGCTGTACCTACTGATCAGCGCGATGATTTCCTGATTAACGGCCGTACTGTTGTTGTTCTTTTATTTCTTTATTGAGTTTTTGTTGAAGATTATAAACAGGACATAACGAAATCGAGTGGCGTTTGACTACAGTGGGTGGTTTGATGTCACTTATACGGTGCAACAGTTTCTGGGTCATCTTTTGTAGCGGAAAAAACTGTTTTTTTTTTCTGTTCGCCAGTGCCGTGGCTTGTTTCTATGAAAATATTTATTTTGGATGAATAAAACGTAGGCGATCTTTTTTGTATTGAAATGTCTTGCTGCACTGTATTACCAGCTCATTTGGAGGAGCTAAGGATCCTGTGTGGATAGAATCTCTATTTCAGTGACGTATGAACTAGAAATAGCAAAAATCTCAAGGCCTTTAGTACATAATTTTTTGTCCTTAAAGCTCAACAGTATCAGACAACTTGAACGGGGTTTAATTTGGGGCTTCAATCTGCAATGCTATCTAAAGTTACTGAGTGTACATAGTATAAAAAAGTTTGAAATGTACTGCATAGTATATGATGGTTTATAAGCATATTGGTTCCCTTTATCAAAGTTATAATGTATATCGGTGATTTGAAACACACTGAGCCACATATACCTTAGTACAAAGTGGTTCCCGTTTTTTAGCTTTCTGAAATCCTAGAAAAATACAAAACTCACGCGATAAACCATCGCTTGTTTGGTGATAAAGAACAACCCCTTTGTTCTCTTATTTTAATAATTTATTCGATGTATAATCTCAAGTAGTTTCCCAGTTATCAGAAGATCGCGTTCATGTTATATATACATGTTGGTTTACTGAATTGTTCGATTTTCCACTGCTGGGAACCATGGAATTTAAATCAGTGAAAAACCTCCTGCACTTCTAGTCTTTCTCACGGTATGTTACACAAAGAGATGCAACGACAAGTCTCTCCTCAATAACCCAAAATATTAGATCAAAATATTTACTCAATAACTAAATGCAAATTGTTATTTTTCTATACATTTTCGTGCCGTTGTCTTGTATTCATATAGTAGTAGTCAGTTTACTAGACGTAATTTGGTTTCACTGTACCATGTGGCTTTTCTGAAAATTCACGGGGAAGATATGGCAACTGAGCAAATTCAAAATATTGCAAAAATTAAAATAACATATACATACATATAATGGTAGAAAATAAAACACTAGTCGTCGTACACAGTCTTCTTAGAGATGCAAGGTTATGACGCATCGGTTTAGTTTTAATAAGTTATGAACAGAAAGAACATGTAAGTCTATTGCTTATTATTTCTTTTTATGCCTGTCATTATATCGGATGCACTGTTCTACATATATAGAAGCCTTGATGTTTCTCAGCTCAGTAGAGCAAAAATCTGGGTTGAAAACAAACAAATTACCAACCATCAATGTGGCAATTTTCAGCAAATTTGTTCTTGCTGCTTTTACTAATCCAACGATTATGATTGTTTTTGTCAGTAACATGAGAAAACGACAACTACTTACGCTGATTAGGAGTTTCTTAGAAATAAATATTGAAAGAAGATACGCTGCTCCACGAGTGGCATACGGATGACGTTTCAGAGTTTACAATGTGTATGACGTCACATCATGGCCGATAGTGTTTCCATCGTTTCACATTAAAAATGAAAAATATATTTTTTTTTAAATTGAACATATATCCAACTTGCGCGTTTAATAATTGAAATCGATATATTTCTTTTTCCTAAACATAATACTGTAAAAAATACTTATTTATTTTATGAAATTAGATATTAGTCAAGTAGCATTTTCTATCAATCATGCTAAATAAATCCTGAAAAAAAACAAAATTACAATCAAGCAGTTGTCAAACTTGACAACTATATAAGTACGAAAGGCACGAACCTGTATTAGAAATGAGCGTGAGATATACGTGGCTCAATGTGTATACGACTTCGACTTCAGTTGCCTTGCTTTCTTGTTCCCACCAATCAACTGCCAGTTATTAATAAGAAGGCGGAATATAGATAGACTCTTTTGGTTTCCCAATACTTAACAAATACATGTGCAATAAAAAATCTGCGGCCTTGCGAACATATTTCTTGAATCTCTTAATCACTCGGGAAAGTATTCAATATCGCTACTGCATCATTTGAAAAACAAAACAGAAACGGAACAGTGGTACTTCTAACCGATTATCAATTATTTTTTGAGGATACGACCGAACGTTAGCTGAAGTGTCATAATGTCATCCACGTACGACTATGACATCTGTCGTCAACTGGTAGGCAACTGTAAACCGACTAGCCACAGTAATACCAACAGCCATGGAGCAACTGGAGGCGTCGCCGCTTTTCTGTGTGAACGGTTGTATTTGAATACGTCTATCTAGTCGTGTTGCGGTCGAGATGTAGTTGCCAGATGCTTTCGGTGAGAACAATCCCATAGGGGGACATAGCCCCCCCCTCCCCCCCCCCGTTTAATAATAGTTATATAAAAGCATTATGTCGCAGTGATTTTACTTGTTATTCTATAAATGACAATGTCAAAATTGCAGATTCTCACTGATTAGGTTGAATGTAAAATTCCTACTAAACTTTTTACAACCCCCGACTGAAGATACACTTGCACAATATTTTCATTTCACATGATCCATATTTTACTTTTAGAAATCATTACAATAACTAATAAAACTGGCCTACGACTAAATGTAATTCACTATGCAATGACAATACAGTCTAAACATAAATATTATAAAGCCTAGATAGAACTCGCTGAACCCCATTTGCAACAAGTTTCCAATGGTTGCAATTGATTTCATGTAATAGATCACTAGATCATCAGCTACACACATACTATCATTTCTTTAATGCGCCCGTTTGAAAAGCTTGATGGTAATGGACGTGAATAGACTCACTAATAAGGTGTCTTGTATCCTAATAAAACATTCGGATGGCTAGCGGTAACGTTGCGACTATATATATGTTTCTACTTTTTATACTGTTGTAACTTTTGTAAAATTTTTCGACGCCTAAAAAAGTTAAGTATCCAATATACACAAGAGACAAGACGCACAAATAGCAAATACCTTGTAATCAGTATGCTTATATTCATTTGTACGAAGCATTAGTTCATTTGTATTATATTATGTCATAATACACATATTTATATCGAATTAGAGAGTTGGACAGCGCGTTTTTGTTATACGGAATGATCATAGGTTAATCATTAGTTGGATATTTGATAGCTTTTCAGTCATGCTGGTATTTTTACGTTTCAAAGTTATCAGGCGGTTGGAAAATAACATATCCGGGTACAGTTTTGAGTGCCTGTTGCCGTTCCTTCTGAATAAGATAGGGTGTATGAATTTATAAATAAAAGGTTTAGTTTTTCATCTATCAAGATCGAAAATACATCTAAATTTTATTATTTGAATTGATCTCAGTTTTCATTGTATAATCTGATTTGAAAATACTGATATACGATAAAAGAATTTTTATTTTGAATGTAGTAGTAAAACTCATTATTCCACCATCTCGTAAAGATGCACCTGCAACATTCACAAAAATTGTTGAGAATTTAGCAATATTAATGACACATCATAGATAGATCGCATATACAGTGTGAGATTTTAGTGTGGGCTCAGTAGATAACTGCATTATTACGCATGGTATCTAAAAAAAGTTAAACAAAATTTGTAAACAGTATACTTTGAAAATATTTTTTTTTGTACAGAGTGGTCCACGTGGTGACCCAAACATACATTTTTTTAAATTTTATTGCAGATTCGGATAGGCGCTACCAAAGGAAGCAATTCAATGTGACATACCATATGGTTTTATTCCTAAATTGTTGAGATATTGGCCAAGACTTTGATAACTCGCATCTCCGCTAGACAGCTAGACTAATGGATTTTTTATTAGAAGAATTTCATGCTTCCAAATTTTCTTCCTGTGCACTTACTGTTCTAGTTTTTCCATAGACTATACAGCGGTTTTAAGAACGCAAATTGAACGATTTCTCCAAATGTTCATATGGGACACCCTGCATATGTTCACACTTTTTGATTTGCTTTTTCACATGCTTTTTTTCTGGTATAGGGTTTAAAGGAGTTTGTAAGAATGCTTTTGAGTTATAGTTAACATTTTTGTAAATCGGATATCAAGGTAAATGAAAAATAAAAATACCTTATATCGGGAAAAGGCCCGTGAAAGGAGGAATAAAAATTGTGAACATTTACAGGGTGTTCCGTTTGAAAACGTTCGTAACAAAAAAATTGTTAAAGTAAGATATGGAGAAAATATAGGTCTAAAAATTATTCTGACGAAAAATTAAAATGTCTAGTTATTACAGCTGTGGAGGTGTGAGTTTTTTTGGTAGATTTGACAATAAAATATGTTTGGAATGGCCTATCCGAATCTGCAATAAAATGTAGGTCTTTCCATTTAAAAAAAAATACGTTTGAGTCATCACGTAATTATGGATCACCCTGTAGAAATAAATATATTTTCCAAATAAGGAGGATACTGTCGGCTACAATTTTCGTAAATAACTTTTCTGGATACGAAGCGTAATAACGTTAAGTTATCGCCCGAGCCCAATTACGTTTGATTCTTGGCACGTATGACCGTCATAGAAGCCGGCATATTAAGGATTATCCAAAGATCCAAATCGTTTAAGGTTTAGCGGACATCAGTGTGAAATTTTTGACATTACCCAGAACCATTACAGTTTAAACTTGGTTGACTGAAGTTACCCGGGGGCCACTGTAGCTTCTCATTCATTACATCATATAAAATATTTAAGGTAAAATTATATACACACTATTCATAGGGCATGCTTGATTCGTCCTTTGTATAAAATTTTATATGTTCATACGCATTATGATGATATTAAATAAATTGTAGACATAAGTTATTGCGACTGATATTTTTAAAATTAATGGTTGAACAGCAATTCTGGTAAACAATCTATATGTTCAAGTTATGATAAAAGTACAACTAGTGTACAATAATTGCAAATCGTACTAAATAAACGACAGATATAAATGCCAAAATACTGTGTACCTAAAAAAGTTAAAACGATCTCGTTTTTAAAAAAATCTTTTATGATAAGTATTTAGCCTGTCGCAAGGATAACTAAAACAAGATCTTTATTATTATGAAAAACGATATGTTTGTTCTGTTCAGTGATATTTTTCGCCCAACAAAACTGAGCCCCAAATCTCAAGTTGACCTTCAAGTTACTTTCTGGAACAATGACGTATTATGCTAGCTTTTTTGAGAACTATATTTTTTTAATTAACTCGATATACTTGTCATATCTTACGTCTGATTAAGTACGCGTATTTTCTTGGAAATCGTATGCTCAGTTTATAGTAAAACATGGTAGATACATTATAACACTTCTATCGAAAATATTTTAAAGATTTAATGAACAAAATGCCATAATGTACGAAGTTATATTTATGCTAACAATGTAGAGTACATGTGTATAGCGTATTTAGAATTGAGATATAACATTTTGTGATTCGTCGTATTGGAAAAAGAGAAATAATTGATTATTTTAACGTTATCTGTTCGTGAATTCTACATTTCAGGTACAATAAGCTGAAATTGGAATGTTTGAAGAGCAGACTACTCTGTAGTGAGAATTTATTGATTGTATTTTATGTTAGAACAGATAGTTTAATATATTCTTTTTCTGTTTATAGCCATTTCTGTATATATTACGATTATGTATTTAAATAAATATTATGGAACACTAGAATGCATTGCATTTTATTCATCAGTTTTTGAAGCAGTGTGCTTGTTGTAGAGTAATGAGTAGAGTCCTGGAGTCTAATATAAAATATTATTCTCAAGGGTAATCATCCATGCATCTGCAATCTGTAAAGAACTCTTCGTTTACACATTTATTTTTTAATGAATTTTCTGTAATTTTACATTCTTGCCTAATAAATTTGCATCACTATGCGTTGGAGTATTCATAAGGTAATTTTTAATATCAATATTAAATTCAAATACTCCCTTTTGAAATACAGATTTGCTAGATAGGCTATTATCAGTCTTGCGAAATTCAAGCTTCGGTCATGCCAATGAAACTTTCAATTTTCAAGTGCTTCCTGTAAACTTGTTTGATCACCATATTGCGACATACTAGAATCGTACCATGAACGTCATATATGCTATGTTACACTCTACACATAATTGGCAACGTCGGCAAAACAGGTACATACGCAAAAAAGTTATGTCTTAAAACCGAGGAAAAATGCTGGTTTTGGCACTTGTTGCTAATGCGACGACAATTTCACGCAGCTTCTTGAAATTCTTCGAATCCGGAGGCTTCATACTTCTTAATAACCACAACAAAATTTGTGTCGATTGGTCAAGTAGTTTTTGAGAATTTATAATTGTTTATCACAAAACACATGTCTTCCGGCCATCACTACTAGTTTACTGAGCAATATACAGCGTTCATTCAAAGGGCATGTTATAGCAAAATACGCGAGTTTACTGTGCCGACATGAATCACAAACCATTCAGGTCTTTTTCGATGCGAAGGGAATCGCGCACCACGAGTTTGTACCCCTGGCCAGACCGTCAATGCTCAATTTTACAAAGAAGTTCTTCAAAGACTGAACCACAGTCTCGCCCGCGTCCAAAGAGGAATTCGCCGGTCGTCATGGAAACTGCACCACGACAATGCACCGTCCCATACCGCCTCTGTTACCGTCGCCTAATTGACCCGGATCGATGTCACGATGGTGCCCCAGCTACCGTACAGTCCCGATCTGCCCTCAGCGGACTTCTTTTTGTTTCATCGTCTAAAAAGCGACCTCAAAGGACAGCATCTGGACACCCTAGACAACATTCAAGCTACTTTGACGGCCTCCCTAAACAGCATCCCAGTCTGGGAGTTCCAGGGAGCATAGGCGGCTTGAAAATCACGATGACAAAAGTGTATTGACGCAGGAGGGTACTGCTTGAAGAATATTGAGTTTTCATATTTACTTGAATGATTAATACATTTTTTAAAAAAATGCATTTCCATTGTTGGCACCAAGCCCAAAATTCCAGATCTTCATTTTCAAAAATTCTGACAATATTACCCATCAATCTTTAATTCACTGAGTGGAAATATTTTCTTTCACTAAAAAATCAAGGACTAATTCTTTAGTTTATTCGAAGATTTCTTTGTCCTTAAATCGTTTTTGAAAAACGCCTTCGTTTATGTACAGGGGAATCAAAATTTTGAAACGTAACGTATCGCAACACTTCAATCTTATTATATTTGTGTTCTTGTCATGCGATTGTAACTGTTATCTCACGGAAGATCTATTTTAGTAGACTTCATTCGATACTAGGATAATTAATAAACAGGGTGGTGAAAAAGAGAACATAGTAAAAATTGAGCTTCAAAAAGTATTTTTTTCCTTATGGAACTACCTGTATTTATGATTTACACTGTAAAACAATAAAACTATAGCTTTCTATAGAATTGTCGAAAGATAGTGTTTTCTGAAATATTTGAAAATTTTAATTTTTCAAAAAGGACAAGGACCTCCACAGACTGCGTGGACGTGCTAAGGGGAATTCTCCATGTGCGTGCGAACCAGCTTTTATAAAAGGTGTCAATATGTTATACCGAACATTTTATTTATATTCATTTATTTAACCAGATATTGGAAAACATCAATAACAAGAGTACCATACAATGAAAAAAGCTACGAAAATAGTACGAGCGTAACTTTTTTGACATGCACCAGCTTTATAGCCGTTTGCATGCCGAAACGCTCGCTAGAACTGTCCATCCGCCTTTCCTCCCGAAGTATGAGAGTGATACCCTTAATAACGTAGTATTTGTATACTCATGCTGTTTTCACTTGTTCCAGGGACTAGAGCAGATTGCTAAAATGTAAGTGCATTTAGGGTTTTCGTATTGGGTTCACAGCCGAACACGAGCAAGAGCTGCGAGATTGATCTACTGGCTGTATGAGGTTACAAGTCCCTTATTCAACCGGTTTGTTAGTATGAACTGAGACATTTTGCGAAAGAGGTCGACTAGCCTTTTTATTCTCGGTAGGCTATCGATTATGTCTTGAATTTATCGGAGCATTGCACATAGCTTCGAAAAATTTAAATCCATGAGCGGCAGGATAGAATTGGAAGGGGGCGTCTTCAATGTTCCTTCGGTTTCTACACTACCATAGGATAGAAAAGCGTCGGTTCAGTTGAAAAGTTAGGACAAATAACAAAACGGTTGCAAACTTTCAAAGTAGAGAGAATCGAAATTGTCATATAAAACATGAGCTTCAAGAAAAAAGTTTACGTCAGAGAACTCCAATTAAGAGGTCGGGAGTAGCGAGTAGCTTGGGAAAGGTTAGGGAATTTGTTTGGGTACTCTGCGGTGTGGGGGCACTTCGAGGGATACAGACAATTCTCCACCATGCCCTTGCTTAGAGCATACAGGTGCGCATCGAGGGATTCAAACACTCATCATGCCCTTGCGCAAAGCATGCAGGTTCACAGGGATAAGAGCAGTTTGCTTAAATGTAAGTGCACTTAGGATTTTCGTATTGGTGTTGGCTTCGCAGCCGAACATTAGCGAGAGCTGCGAAATTGATAAACCTACCTTTGGTCTGTAGAACCATTGTCTTTTTTGGGGTTGGAAGAAGACTTTGGGGAACCGAATTTTGACTTGTAAGATGATCGACTTCATCGATCTATCTCGCTTGTCGCTACTGACTAATTTGGCCCAATGCGACGAGTGAGCAATGTTGACGAATGTGGCGGACGACTCTTGATACTGCCCTCGCTCAGACAGGGTGCCCCATTTAGATACTTAGGGATCACCAGAGATAAAGCGTCAGTTCAGTAGAAAGTAAGGAAAAATAATAAAATGCTATCACACGGAGTCATATAAAACATACGCTTCAGGAAAACCCTTTACGTCAAAGAACTTCAAGTAAATGGTCAGGCGTAGCGAGTAGCTAGGAAAATGTTGGGAAATTTTTGTTTGAGCACTCTGCGATGTGGGCACATTGATGGATACAGACAACTCT